ATACCGTACCGGAACGTCGATCTACGCATGTATGCTACCTGACACAACGCTCATCTAAATGCATCAATGCCTAGCATTCAGCTATTCAGCAATACTCGGAAATGAATTATCTTACCTATTTCGCTCTATCACCCCGCTCCCCCTTTCCCCCAAAATACACGCCGTCTGCCCTTTACCCACGAGCATCAGACCGACGTCGACCGGCGACTACTGAAATAAAGAGGGTACGGACGCGATTTTTGCGCACGTTGCCTGGTGCAGTCGCCTACATCGGTAACTGTAGAGTGATAGGTCCCCTAATTACGGTGTATCAGAGTTCTTCCGCTCAGAGCCCCCCCCACAGACTCAATGATTAAATAATGATTATGACACCAGGTCCTGTTGTAACTCTTTGAGATAGAACCCAAGAGAGCATACAAGATCACCCTCCAATCGGGGAATTACTGTAGAGCATTTCTGTATTCATAACTAGCTAGAACCACTGAGAAGAGTGGCATTCGGGGGGGGTGGTGGGGTAGCCGTCGCGCAATGTGATGACAGGCAACATAGCGTATAAGTAAAGCTTGGACTGTCTGGCAAAAAGGCCCAATCGCCCAGTAGTCTACTTGCTCCGTTATAATGGACCAACGTACAATCCCGTAGGGGGTTGCCTGGTTCCCTAACAAGTTGGTGGAATGGTTGATCTCTCGTTGTTGGAATATGCCTGATCACGTGCGGCGGGGCGTCGCCCGGGCAACGGCTAATCGCAACACCAACACTTCCGTGTGATCAGTTACCTCTGAGCTATTATAGCTATCCTATCCTGGAATCCACCTAAAAACATGCTGAAGAGGGGGATTTAAACCTTTCCTATGCTTCTGCCCGTTTACTCCGTAAGCCTTAGCAAATTGCAAAAATACTTAAGTACTGCTGTGTCCAAGGTTTTGTAAACAATGTCTGCTGTCATATTCTTCACAGAACCAATAACCAACCACCAAAGAACGAAGTTTTTGGTCTCTTGGACTAATCCATCCTTAACCAGTTAAAAAAAAATCAATATCCATATCCTGGCCAATAGCACAACGCTTTATTGGCTAAAATGAAGCCATGGGATTCCCTGAGACACCGGTGGGTAAAATAAAGGGCCAAGTGACAGAAATAGTCCAAACACAAATAGTTCCATACGTTGATGAGAAGAAATGCGACACGAAGATGCGGAGCTTTTATGGGGTTGCATACCTGTCACGTCCAGTCTGTCTTCTCACGATTAGACAATGCCAATGTAATGTAGAGGAGAACATACCTCGGATACTGGGACAGAGAGAGTGGATAATCCTTATGGGTGGAGGAGGCTGGGAGGGACGAATTGATGGGGACGGCCAGGAAACACAGCCGCTGTAAGGGAAATAGTAACTATAGTCAATGTAGCGGAACTGGGAACTTGCAATATAAGAGCGTAGGATCTATGTATTGAACAACCTATTAAGCTTGCATTCAATGTTTTCTGAAGCTCTCACTTTCTCCCAGGATGTCTGCCTGTATCTATAGGCAAATTCTCTAGTAGTCTTCAGTATTAATTCTACAGAGTACTCTCATACAGATTGTATTCTGTGAGTAACTATTCATGACTGGCTGTAGCTGCTGTGGAGAGCTGAATCCTCAGCTTTGATGGTATCCAAATTTACCACAGTCGGATTTGACTGTAATAATACACAGGACACCTACGCTCACTGAGATGAAAGAACAGGAGCTTGATATGGGGGCGAGTAAACACCTCACAGTCGCCCCTGTTGCTGCCGCGCAGCTTACAGTGTAGTTATAGGACAGATGCCGGACGGGTAGTTGGCAGCAGCGGTGTTAATCCCTCTTCTACGGTGGTTGTCTGCAGCCCTTGAAGAATCCTCAAGATTGCTTGTCAGGCGATAAACAGTTCCGATTCATTGGAGAATATTCCCGTTCTGCAGGAGCGGCCATACGCAGGGCCAAGGCCTGGCATGGGTGGATTGGGGAAAGATGGTTTTGTAGACATTTCGGATTAATTTATTAGCAATGAATTGAGGGATAGGGCACATATTGACTGTGTTGGAATGCTAGTTATTTTGGGTGTACGGTGGCGTATATTTCATATTTTGATTAGAATAGTGTATTTTCGAGGAGTGTACGTAGTTGGGTAGTGAGTGAATTTATCAACCCCTTTCCCTTTGATTCATGAAGCCATCTGTCATTGATCTGGTTATTTCCATAGTAGCACACTGCACACTGTCCATGGCTACATGCCGGACATTTCATCCTGATACTGACCTCCTTAGCACATCCACACCATAATTCCAACTCTAGATAGACAGTTCTGAAAAATTATGGTCGATACTCCCGGCAAGGAAACCATTCCGGTCACTGAAATGAAGAAGCAGAGGGAAGGATGGAAGCCGATAGACTGATTCCTATAAACATTAGGATGCATACAAACTTGCCTTGCGTGCAGACACAGAGGGAAGTGATGCAAGATAAAATTCGGCAAATTCCCAAACCAACGCTCATATCGTCCAGTCCAAGGCCAGATGTAGTCGGCTTGGATGACTGATCGAGTCATTGGTTCTTCCTGCTTTTCTCCCCCGTCTCAACAACTGGTAATATACATGCTGAAAATGATCACGTTCTCTGGTCAATTTCTTGATACTTCTCTGCCGGTGAAGTTTTTCAGTGGGACTGTTGCTTCACCATTTGTTTATCACTTTCTGTGACCCAGATTTCTTATTGACATTCATTTTACCTCTCCAGTTTTGCGCTGATTTTGTAGCCATCTGTGACATAGTTTTTTGGCTCTTCTTGCTTCTTCTCTTCTTTCTCAATTTCTTGATACTTCTCTGCCGGTGAAGTTTTTTTAGCGGGACTGTTGCTTCACCATTTGCTTATCACTCTCTGTGGCTCAGATTTCATATTGACATTGATTATACCTCTCCAGTTTTGCGCTGATTTTGTAGCCGTCTGTGACATAGTCATTGGAGTTATCTTGCATACAGCTCAACATCCCCTGAGCGTGCTAGTAAACTCCTCAATCCCCCGCATTAAAACAGAGGAGAATTATCAGCGGGGTACAGTTGTTCATTGCATAATGTTAAGAGCAGAGGCATCTGGAAAAAGAGGCTGTCGGAAGATCTCCGTGTACTTTCACACAGATTTTCTTGGTATTGGAGTTTTGAAGTAGTTCTGACATGCAAAGAGTTTTGTCCGGTTGCCTTCGAGTGATAACGTGTGAAGCGCGAGGTGCTGTGATGGTGTTAAGGGCAACTGTAAAACAGTGGCCATGGCCAGGAAAATTGCTTCTATGACAGTTGGAGGCGGCTGCATTGGTAATGCCCTTTGTAAATGTGGCCCTGGGAAATGTCCAAGGTCCTTGAGGTGTTGTGAGGTCCCATAATCGCAAGTTATACTCAAGAGTTGAGGAATCGATAGTCCCGTCTTGCCTGCTATGGTCTTCTTATTCACTGTACTACCTGTGTATTCCAAGATTCAATAATTTGAAAAGGGCCAACAAATTTATGATCTAATTTCCTAGTGGGGCAGAGCATGCGGAAGTTCTTCGCATTGAGGAGCACCCAGTCCCCCACGTGGAAGCGTTTTGCGCTGTGTTTAGAGTCATAGTACGCCTTTTGTGCAGTCTTGGCCTTCTCCAGTTGTTTTTGAATCTTTTCCTGCATTGCTTGTGTTTCTTTGGCCCGGTGGATTGCCTCAATTGAGCTTGGATAAGGCAGATTACTGACATCAATCCGGAGGGTAGGTCTGTAGCCGAGGAGTGCATGGGCTGGAACTTCGTTGGTTGAGCTATGTCATGAATTGTTATAGACAAACTGCGCTAAAGGCAGCCATCTACCCCAGTCGTCCTGGTGGAAATTCGGGAAGCATTGAAGATAATGCTCTAGAACACCTGGTTACCACGACTGAGTGTACATGCAAACCTAACTCGGTTTGGGAGAAAATTGAGGTTTGGGAACTCCACCGGGTTGATAGGTACCTCCTGCTATTCCAGTGTAATTTTAGAATCAAAGAGATATGTGGGTAATAACGTCATTAAATGGGCCGCGAGTGCTCCTTTTTTCATTCCCTTTCAGCAAGGAGCTGGTCGACCGGCCAATCGACGTGCCAGCATCGCTGCTTTTCGAGATCCGGATAAACTGGAGTTCAAACCCCGAGTTCTCTTGACGCCGGAAAACGCAATCCCTACGACGTACCCCAACAAGTATCAGTTATTCCTGATTGGGATATTCATGACGTTGGTTCCATGCAACCAGACTCGCCGGCCATTTTGTAAAACATATGTGGCAGGTATTGCTCCAGTATGACGACTTCCTCGGCCTTCCCGTCGTTGTCGTTCTCATTGGGAAACATTCCTCTTGTATTCCTTATCAGACTGGTGAGCTTTCAGATATCGTCATGATCAATTCAGAATACATGACTCCGCTCACTGGTTGAGTGTCGATGACTTGAAGCAGTCTCTATCAAAGAAAGATTTTCCTTATGAGGTAAATCCGCTGAGGAGGGTGAACACAACCGATGCTCATGATGTAGCCCATGCGATTGACACTGAGACCAAGGTCGACTACCGCACCTTAGAACCACGTGACGAATTAGTTGAACAAAGATTCGTCAACACTATTCTTATTAGAGATTTGCATGATTGGCAGGCATACGGAGACGGTCTACCAGGATATCTGGGACGCTCCGTCAGGGACGGAAGTTTCGTCTGCTTGAATACCCTGCCATTCACATCGACGATGGTGAGGACAAAACGTAAAAGGATATTAGGGTCCTCATGCAAAATTTCCACTGAGATTTTCTGAGCTGTCCTCCGTATGGACATCGACCTTGATTTCTGCATCGTCCGCCGGACTGTCGCGTTACAGCCAATGTAATGGTTTGCAAATAATAACCAGACGCTCTTTAGGAGCAATAGCTTCCTGGAATGTTTGGCGCTTACTTAGTTAGTCTTTTGTGCAGTAGATACGAGACCACGTTGATGAAGCCATAAGGGATATGCAGAAGTAGAAGGAGAACAGACAGCATTCTCTGGAATCTTCACTTTTTCCATATTCCTCCTTAGTCATCCAAATCAAACCATCTGGGGGGAACGTTGATTCTGATGACGAATATCGCGTACGTGCGTGGCTTCATTTGGTGATTGAGTACGATGTCGATCGTACCTTTTAGGGAACAAAAAACATGTAATAATGGATGCTAGCACTTCAGTGTAGGCTTGGAATTCCATTGACCCAGTAGAGAGGCAGCTCTCGCTATGTCCGGACTTGTGTTCACTGCAAGATATTAAATGCAACCAACACCATGTTGGTAGCGGTGTTTAGTAAAACCATCCTGTCCTGCAGTGGCAGGTTCATGATAATCATACCAAATTTTCGCAGCTGGGTCTAAACCGTATAAAGAACATCACAGAAGAGTGTTGTGGGAATACCTGGCTCAAAACCAATGGGCTGCCTCATATAAACAGGCTTTGCCAATCTACCATGTAAGTAGGCTAAAACAATACCAACCAGCCCGTAGGGTCCATCCGCTCATGGTAGCGATTGCAAAAAAGAAACAGTTCGTAGCGTCCACAACAGGAGCATACATCTCTTCCTTGCTGCCTTCTTCAATCAATTGCCACATATGACCCAAAGTGATTTGGGTAGGATTCCATCTGGATCCGCATCAGGGTCATTCGGGCGATCATTTTCAACATATACCCAACCACCCGGGGCTATCAGTTCACCCATTGGTACATCGGAACGAGGAATCAAATGCCAAGTTTCCGTCGTTGTAATAGTAGGATAGGGAATCAAAAAGAAAGATAAGATCTCAGAATAAAGAAGAAGTAAATAGTTGTCGTAATTCGTGATATTTGTTGCAGACTCAGTAAAGGACACGATTCACTGAGGAGCGGCCAGCGGATTCGGGAGATAATAAATACACGTCCAACACTAGCCGGGCTATGTAACCCGATGACGAATATCGCGTAGGGTGCGGGGCTCTCTAGATCACGTGCAGTAGGCGGAGCGTAACAACCAAAGTCTCGGCCAACTAACAAGATTCATTAGAAACCAATATCTAGCCAATCGGCACCACCTAATGCGGGGTTTTGTCACGTGCTAAGGGCGCTGTAAGCCTTGCTTACAAACCCAGTGGAAGAAAATTACCAACACCTTGGGCATAAAATCCCTATTTTGGGCAGCTTTGCATGACCAGGTTGCCCTTTTTGCGCCCCCCCCCAAATGTTGCGCGCACATTAGGGTGAGAATATATGCGTGCGCTGGCAGTTGTGCCTCTAGCTATCCACATTTTTTGGAACCCGCAGGTGGCAGATGACTTGGTTCGAAGACCGGAAAATAAAAAGGTCCTTGCGGAGTATGGCCGAATCACATCCATATGTTTTGTTGTCATGCCGCATGCTGTTGTTCTTCCATGCCGTCCCCTTCACTAACGTACATCGATACGCAGTTACATTGCTAGGAATTATCACCAGGTGATGTTGTTCTGCTTCTGTGGCTCCGAGATTGCTGTCGGTCATATATAAGATGGCATAGTCTACTCTTGTTGATGGACCCAAGCTTTTCATCTCTTTCAACGTCTGACCTGATGCTCCCCACTGCGTCCTCACATTTGTATACCAGGAAGGCGACCATCCTCAGTAGAGATGTCGTATCTCACTAATGGTCAGTAGGCGCCAGAAATGTGCTGGCAGATGCCAAAAACTCCAGCAAAATGGCTGGATTGCACAGGCAGAATTGCAGCCATGCAGCAAGTATGAACTCAATCATAACTATAAGTTACAGCAATGGTGCAAACCCGCGGAGCAAAGAGGAAGCCAATGCGAAGATCCAGTCTCAACTTCTCAAGCAAGTTCAACTTAGCAATAGTGGAATTGTCCCAACCATCGAAGCCATAGCAAACGAGAGGATGATGAATGAGCTGATGGGGGGTGGCCCTGTCGGAAGTTTTAGCTTAATGTTCGGTGTTGGGAGCATCCGTCGAATTAGCTTTAGAAGGTGGGGTGTGGTGGGGGAACTGTCTTAAGAAGCCATGTTTTTTATCTCGAATATAACAAACCAAATCAGTGCTCTTATTTTCTGCTGAGAAAAAGAAACAAGATATGTCACTGGTCAAATCAAAACTTCTTGTTCCATCATTCTTGAGAATACTTTTTTTCTTCATAATGAGTAAATTGATTGCTTTATGTGCTAAGAAGTGTGGTCTTTCCAGAACACTTAGCATTTCTTTCTCTCTTTGATATGTCCTCTCCCTTCTTGAATCTAGATGGAGCTCCTCTCTGTGATCCTGTTCCTGGCCATGGTAGAACAGGAGTTGTCGTTTGACAAGATGACATCACTATCAAGCTGCCATTGAGGTATTAGTAATAATGACAATGACAACTACCCAACTAAGTGAACTGCCTCATCATTAAACATGAAGAAGACATGTACTGACAGATACAGAGTTGTAATGATGTTGTGTGTTGCTTCAGCTTCTCTGAATATTGCATTCAAATGAAGTTAATGGAAGATAGAGATCTTGAAGGGACAGCACCTGGTTGCAGTCTCTTTAGCTCTGATAACTTCATCAAATAGCTCATACCCTTGTTCATGTACAATAGTAACAAATATTTCTATATGAAATTATTCTCAGCACTGATCTCTCTATTAAATCCTGTAATTTCACTAAGTCTTCTATGCTGCCTCTTGGTGCTAACATGAACCGCATCAATGATCAAAGTTATTTAATTTACACAGATATTGGCTAGTTGAGTATTATGATAACTATATGAGGTTATAACTGAGTAGCAGTATTGCGAATTTGATTTATTTAAAGATCAATTATCAGTACCTACCTGCGCAGCCTGGTCACTACAGGTGATTCCCCCTTCCACCAAGAATGTTTAACTTGATTCAATCATTGAAAAGTATTGCGCTAAAGGTGCATTTTAGAATGTGAGAAGTCTATTGACTGCTTTAGAGTTAGTCACTCTAGAATGTCCACTTGAATATGAAAAGAGAATACATGAACATTTAGAATTTCATGTTAATATGTTTAAGATATACCCCATCTCTCACTTCCACAGGAGAGGAATCTTGACAAATGTTTATCAGAGGAGAGGCTAAGTCAGGCTCAGCAATTGAACTGACCATGAGAAGCAGCAGCAGTCTCATATGCACATTCAAAGCATGTCCTTATCGCCTCATGAAGCATCTTAATTGCGGACAAGCAAATACTCAAATCATACTACTTTGAGAACACTCACATCATTCCTAAATATCTAAATGTTGATGAGATCAATGGAGACGGTCTATCAGTCAAGTATGACATATCTTGTTTCAGTTCCCTAATCTACAACACTGTTACAGGAAGGAAGTTTGAAGTTCCCATCTGTCAACTATCCAATCCCACTGTGCAGGGTTGTCGTGAGGATGCGGCAGTTTCCAAAATTATGACCTACACAATTCCAGAACATATGGATAAAGATATACATGAAAGGCTTCCCAATATAGTGGACATATTCATGGGCGATGTAATCCAGGACTGCTGGGATCGGGACGGGCATCAGAGGAGGGAAGATGGCTGTAGCGAACTCTCTGAGCTCTCAGAGAGTGACCTCTCGGGTATCAGTCCCACCGATGCACACCGATTGGGCTACCCAGTTATTATACATGAAACAGAAATTGGAAAATAATCATGATTTCCAAAGTTTGACCTAATCTCCGTGTCCCAACGGATGTAGGTAATGTAAAGAAGATTGTTCGCCTCTACCTTTAAGCCTATAATGCAGCAAGTTCCGGTATTGGAAATTCGGATATAAGTTAGAACATTAGATACGAGCAAGCAAATTTAATTGACCTTTGGAATTTGAATTTTTTGTTCCACACTATTTTTTTGGTGGTTGAAATGCTGCCTCACTTGCCTCTTGTGTGTTTTGTTTGTTTCCTTGCCATTGCGAGAGTGCTAGGGAAACCGATTATGAGTACAATTACGCGTTACTATTACCAAGTCAAGTTTTGCTTACCTCAATGTATAGAATGTTGACGAGACACCCAAACCCCGCCCCGTGCGAGGTGACTCGGGACCATATTGTCGTGATCATTGTAAACTTGCTTGTTGAATATAATGGCGCTGAAGACCTGCGTGCCGGTCGTGAGCCATCTTCAAAATGCCCCTGGTGGATTTAAACATGTCGGCGAAGATGGCATTTTGCGATCCTTCGATGGAAACGGGAACGTAGTTGACTACACCCAACACTCACGACACCAGTTATCAGTTTTAATATGCTGGGCGTTAAGCTGGGCCAGTTCGGAGACTATTTATCTCCGAAATCGAAGATGGCCCGGGAAAAGTCGATAGTGCTTTGGTGTCAGAGGACCAATCTGGTCGCTACCCGAGAACATTCGACCAACCGTATGTGATCAGGGAACATATGGAGAAATGGAAACAGACAGAGAAGGGTCACAATGTGTTTAACCGAAAAAATGATTTTTTGTTCCGATTATATGTGTTATGATGACAATAATTGCCATAAAAATTGGTGGCATCAATGCCTCGACGTTAAGAAACTGTGAAGGAAAAGGTGTATTTAAGAGCGTTGGGACCAAGCTGATCGGGTATATTTCTCAAATAACAATTGCTGAAGGCTTCTTTTCCCATCAGCAAGTTCAATTGTTGGCCTTCTTGGACAGCATCCCGTTATTTTAAAAGGAATTGAGAGTGTTGAAAATGTTTCTTCAGAGATCTTTTACATATCCTTATAAACAGAAGAATTTATGTAGGCCATCGGGGAGGAAAGCCGACCCAACGGTTGTGATAAGGTCAAGCATACAAGACGCGACCCACGTGTCCGGTGCCTCATCGGTGTCAAATCAATTCTCGCAAGATTGAATATTAGAGAATGAAATGACTTACCATGATCTTTCTGAAACACTTTCCCTTCCTCCATCAGCGTCCCAACCCTAACTCCTTTACCTCTCCACAACCATAAAAATCCCATTCTCCATATCATTCGTTGGACTTTTCCCCCAACAATCCCACATTTGTGGTGGTGGTACATTTGCCATTAAAATAAGAGAGTCGGATTCCACAGCGGGATCACGCAAGCAATTATTTCCTCTATTAGAGAAAAGAATCACATGGTGTTGCAGATGTAAATTGCTAACGTAAGTAACAATTTTGCAGGCACACTGTCCAACGAAATTCGCATCGCAAGGAAGCCATTGGAATTTGCAACAGTAAAGTTTAGAAATGGCTTCCAGTTGGAAGCGCTTTGAAGGTAATGATGACGATCAGAGTACCCAAGGAAGGGAACTTGGGCTTACTCCTTCATCGGTGCTGGGATAACTTCGTCTCGACTAAGAGGCTCCTGGAGGCAATTCCCTAGGTCTAGTCCTTCGTCACGTAGAATGTACGCTGCGCCCTGCCATAGACCACAGGGGATAGAGGAGGGTGTACGAAGTTGACGACTCTGCTGTCTAAATTCAGGTGATAGCGAACGAGGCTAATATATTTTCTCGTCTTCGAGTGCAGTGATCGCGGGCTTCAGCGCCAGCCATGTTGATTCAGATCCTGCGATACCAGATTTAATTGCAGTGAATGTCAAATTCAATGACGTAGCAATGATATCCATTTGGGGAAACCCGCTGCTTCCTTTGCTTTTCTTTCTCGTAGGTATGAAGACACCCGTAGATGCATGTACGCAGCCCGAAGGGGGGAGAGAGCTATGATAAATTCAACCAATGGCTCTCAAGCCCAATTCCGCGTCCTACTAGTCAACCAATGATAACTAGCATGCTACATGGAGAATATTTCAGAAGCCCTAATCTGCATTCCGACATCAGCATTCGGAGCACAATCTGAAGCTTGACGAAGTCAGCTGAGCACTCAGCGTTCAGGAGTCTTTATAGCCTTTCGGAATAACATTTTTCAGATCCATTTTCTCCCTTAGGTTTTTGCTCTTTTGCCCATGGTTTGTTGCTTGAATTACTTGAGCAGTGGCAATTTAAGATCAATATCCTAAACACGAGCTAGTAAGATGGATATGAACACACTAGAACGATGTGCTCCGTAAAGAGATGGCATCCACTTTGATCATAGTTAACCTTGTATGAAGGGATGTATCCCCCGTATATTTCGTCCAATACACCTTCAGGACGACATACCACGGCAGATATATCAATGGCAATTTGCCTTCAGTGCGGATTCAGGACGGAGTGATGTGAGGACGGGTATCTGAGGCTTTTGATTAGAGAAGCTAGGGTTTATTGTTGGTTTTCTAACTTGAACAGCTCGTTGATAGAGCCAGTTGAGTTGAAGAAAAGGTGAATATACCAAGTTAGAGAGCAGCGACAGTCACAGCGCGTGGGATTTATATATTATACAAACATACAGCATTCTGCATTCCCTAGCGACAAAAATTGCTTTTGAAGCATGTACAAGTGTCCTGTGGAATATTCACTATCCCCTTTCATAATTGGGTTAAGCCTGCAACACTTGCGGTAGTTTCTTTTTGAGGGGGGCAAAAAGGTCCAAATAGCCGCTAAGGCTGGGGCTGGGGCTGATGCGCTGGAAACTGGAAGATCCACGGATAGTGTCGTAGTGTATCTTATTATTTCAGTGTAAATAATTACGACGCTAGATCAGGAATTTAAGACACCCGCCAAGCTGTTTCGTTTGCCTGCCTTTGCGAACTTTTTTTCTTCTTCTTTCTTCAAAGAATGCTCTCACTGTGTTCAGAGTATGTAGCAACTGTTCTCCATTGCTCGAGGGATTGTTGCGCAAGCCGGCTATATCTCACTCATTTTCTTTCCTTTTTCAGTTTATTTTATTTTATTTATTTTATAACGGAGTTCTTTGGCTACGGGGATGGTGATGCGTGCGTGATTTGATTCATGTACGCGAGTAAAGGGACCGTACTGTATTGTACTTTACACTATTTTGCTGTATCCATATATGTATTAAACCCGGCTCGGGTCCAAGGCTGCTGGGATACAGAATACGACTTGCTTCCCACGGAAATAAAATCCATATACGGCGTATATAGAAAGTATATCAGCGAATGTTTTGTTATTATCATTACATTTCCCTTGCAAATATGCATAAAAATAGCCCTTGATAGAAAAAAAATACCGGTTTTGCGCATACAGGAGCAACGAAAATTCAAGCCCTCATTCACAAATCCATTCCCGGCAAAAAATCCCAGAAAATATCCAAATCCCCACTTTTCCCGATCATGCTTCAGTAAGCGAAAATGGGTGCTCACTTCAAGTATGGTAGTTACCTAGTTGCTAGATATCCAAAGTCTCCTATGATGTTGTCCCTTCTGATCATCCGAGTTGGAAAGTATAAATCGATAGATGGGAATTGATATCTGAACAAAGCATGGAGACCATTTACGGAGAATCTATTTCCTAAAGATCGTGGAGAGAACGGACGTGGCAAAGTGAGGGAATTGTTGATTCGGTATCAGAGAAGCTGGAATCCATTCCTCGTCACGCGAAAGGTGATGATTGGTACTGGATGTATGTGTAGTATGTACATGAAATTTTTAGTAGGAGGCTTGAAACTGCCTCGCCAGATCTCACTGTCGAACACAATTGTCGAGATTGGGAAGGACAGTTTGAAGAGGCTGAAAAGATGTTAATGAAGGAGGATCACGCCACAACCAGTGAGGATGATGCTCCGTCTCACCTTAATGCAGTCTCAGGTCCTGCCACTTATCTATCCTTGGAGAAAGAATTCCATGACAGGCAAACCTGCAATCCAGTGACTGTTGTTCATTATAGCAGCTCTATCCGTCCAGTATTTACAGCCTACGGATGTAGTTGTGGTTAAACCAGTATGCGGAGAGTTTGATACTGGGGATTGCGGATGGAGGCTTGGCAGCTGTCATTAGATAATAAGTTTTTTCTCGTACTGACGATACAGAACGGTACCGTACTATACAACGTGTCTGAATTTTCCAATGAACCAAATTACGAAAATACACGTATAACTTACGAATAGAACATACCATACAGTATCGAGTTCCTCCCCCAAAGCCCGCACAGCGCCAGATCGCTCCTTCCTCTCTTCTCCTCCGTACTTCCCTCCACATTCCTCAACCATATCTCATCCCGTTGCGCCTCAACTTTTCCCATCCCGTTGATTTTTGATCCCAACTCAACCCCACGTCTTCTCTATCTCCAGCCCCAGCTGTCTGCACCAACCCCGGTTGTCCCGGCTCCCAGCTCCGTCTTCCGTTTCCCTTCCCTCCTCCCTCTTATCATTACTCACTATCTAGTTCCTACCTATAATTACTTAATTATCTTCTCGCATCATCCCCGTATCTCTTGAAAACCACCCGCCCCTCTACCCGACTCTCACTCTTTTCCAATGCGCTATTCGCATTGCCATCAGTGTCTTATCAGAACCTGATCGATCCGATTCCATCCTTTTTCCTGCTCTGCCACATTTCACTGTGGAGACATGGTGGTCCCACCATCTACTGGAGCAAATACTGCCCAGCAGCAGCAGCAGTCACAGCAGCCATTGGCCACCCGGTCCTCCACACGCACATCGAACTCGAATAATAGCCAGTCTTACAATGCCAATGTTCCCTTGAGTGCTCGAAGGGCCGCGCCCCTCGATCTGTCCACGGTAGAGCGACGGGGTCATCCAACTGCCAGCAGAGAACCAGTGAAGCGTGTGCGACCCCACGGTCTACAGGAAGCTCCAACTTTTCGTCCTACCGAAGAAGAATTTAAAGACCCCTTCGAATATATCCGTAAGATTGCGCCAGAAGGAAAGAAATACGGTATCTGCAAAATTGTGCCTCCTGACAACTGGTCTCCACCGTTTGCTATTGATACAGAGGTGCGATGTTTCTTCTACTACTTTTAGGACGAATCCATTTTCGTTTGAAATATGTCCAATAACAAGATGACTGACGAAATCTCTGTTTTCTACCATTTAGCGATTCCACTTTCGCACTCGTCGCCAGGAGTTGAACTCGGTTGAAGGAGGTATGGCCTAAACACCACTCCCTACCAGCTGTCCATTTCAGTCCATTTCAATCCCGCTCTGACCCCCAACTAGGCACCCGAGCGAACCTCAACTACCTCGACCAACTAACAAAATTCCATAAACAACATGGAATGAATCTGAGCCGTTTTCCCAGCGTCGACAAGCGCCCCCTTGACCTCTACAAACTTAAAAAGGCCGTTGATATTCGCGGTGGCTTTGAACAAGTCTGTAAGCTGAAAAAATGGGCGGAAATTGGTCGAGATCTGGGATATAGTGGCAAAATTATGTCGTCGTTATCAACCTCCCTTAAGAATTCGTATCAACGCTGGCTTCACCCATACGAGGAATATCTTCGCGTAGCTAAACCCAGTGTCCAGCAACAGCTGGAATCTGAACATGGCGGGCCATACACTCCATCCCCCGGAACCTCACCGGCAACTAAGAGGTCTCGGTCAAACAACAATCGTGTATCTGAATTAAACAAGGACTCGCCAGCTGCAAAGACCTCTACCGCCCTTAACAATTCTGTGAGAGAGACTGAGGACAGAACGGATAAATCTTCGACCCCTCTTGATTGCCCGCAAGAACGGCCAATTACATCTTCAGGATTTACGGCCGTTAATTCAACTCCAGGTGGATTTTCTGCGATCAATACCCCTCCGTCTTTCGTTGCGGTGAACAGTTCAGCTCCTACTGTAAAACGAGAGATGGAGAACGGAACCCACCTTTCTAGCCTTGGAAATGAGACTGGTACATCGAAAAACACACCGGATGGACAGCAATCTGAATCTAACTATACGCCAAATGTTAATGGCCACGATGTACGCCCTCTCAAGCGCGCTCTCAGCCAAGAAAGTCTAACAGGAAGTTCACAGACAGATAACGGAGATGCTGATGGCACCAATGGGCGGCGCAGTAAACGCCTGAAGAAAGGTACGTAGAATACTACAACTGGGAGAATTTAAACTGCAACGCTATCAGGGAGCTTTGTAGTTCTTGACTAACTTGAATTTCTAGATGGCGTGCCAACCGTAGCTGGATCACATATGAGTCTGCTACGCCCTACACCGACCCAGGGGCGAACAAGGGGTGGAAAAAGGAAGACCGGAGAGGTGTGTACTTCATGTGCTATATTTCGGTTTCGCGTTGGAAGCTAACAATACTTTTGCAGCGATGTGAAAATTGCGGGAAGAGTGATGATCGCCCAACTATCCTATCTTGCGACGGATGTGAGAATGGATACCACATGCGTTGTCTTGACCCACCTCTGGAATCTGTTCCAGATTACGACTGGCACTGCCCTAAATGTCTTGTTGGAACTGGAGAGTATGGCTTTGAGGAAGGAGGAATATACTCGCTGAAGCAGTTCCAGGAAAAAGCCAATAGCTTCAAGGAAAGTTACTTTGGTCCAAGAATGCCCTTTGATCCCGTTCTCAATGCTCCACGAAAGGAATCCGAAGACGATGTTGAACGCGAATTTTGGCGGCTTGTGGAAAGTCTAACAGAAACTGTTGAAGTCGAGTACGGTGCGGATATTCACTCTACAACTCACGGAAGTGGTTTTCCAACTGTTGAGCGGAACCCTTTGGACCCATATTCTGTTGACCCATGGAATCTTAATGTCATGCCCTTGCACTCAAAATCGCTCTTCCGTCACATAAAGTCTGATGTCTCTGGGATGACCGTTCCGTGGGTATATGTTGGTATGTGTTTCTCAACATTTTGCTGGCATAATGAAGATCACTACACATATTCGGCCAACTACCAACATTTCGGTTCTACGAAGACATGGTACGGGATTCCCGGAGATGATGCGGAAGCTTTTGAAGAAGCTATGCGCCAAGCCGTCCCGGAACTCTTTGAAACGCAACCCGACCTCTTGTTTCAGCTCGTTACACTGCTACCACCTGATCAACTCAAAAAGGCTGGTGTGAATGTGTACGCTTTAGACCAACGTGCCGGCCAATTTGTCATCACGTTTCCTCAGGCATACCACGCGGGTTTTAACCATGGATTCAATTTCAATGAAGCTGTGAACTTTGCGCCGGCAGATTGGGAGCCCCTAGGCCAAGCGGGCGTCCAGCGACTGCAAGAATTTCGACGGCAACCTTGCTTTTCGCACGACGAACTGCTCATCACAGCGGCGGCGAGAGATACAACCATCAAAACCGCCAAGTGGCTTGGTCCTGCGTTACATCGAATGAGCAATCGAGAATTAGAGCAACGTGCTGCCCTTCTCGTGCGTCATCAGCAAGCTCACTCGCATAATTGTAAGATCAGCGGTGGTGATGAGGACTCAGACGAGTGCACACTGAACTTTCTGATTGAGGATACGGATCTTCCTGAGGAAGAATATCAGTGCAGTTATTGCAAAGTATACAGTTACCTGACACAGTTTAAATGCCATAACAAGGGGAAGACCTTGTGTCTTCTACATGCTGATACGTATGACTGCTGTGGTGAAGACTCATCGCAGAAATTATTTGGCCCTAACCACACTTTGCGCTATCGCATGTCCGATGATGCCCTGCGAGCGTGTGTGCAGAAGGTGGAAGACCGAGCAAGGATCCCCGAGGCCTGGGCCGAAAAGCTGGATAAAGTTCTTGCGGATGAACCGAAACCGTCGTTGAAAGCCTTACATGCGTTACTCAGTGAGGGAGAGAAAATCCCCTATTTTCTTCCTGGTCTGCAGGATCTGGCCTCGTTTGTTCAACGTTGCGACAAGTGGCTTGATGAGGCAAATAATTACATTACTCGGAAACAGCAGAATCGACGTAAAAATGAGAAAGCATGGCGCAAGGTAAATTCAACCAAGGCCGCACAGATGGAAGAACGTGATCGTGAGCTTCGCAAGGTGGAGAAAATACATGCCCTCCTTGAGGAGGCCGACAACCTTTCCTTTGATTGTCCGCAGATCACATTGCTGAGGGAAAAGGTAGATGAGATTCAGAAATTTCAAAGTGATGCTCAGGCTATTCTTTGCAACCCTCATATTTCCTCAACACAGGAGGTTGAGGAGCTTGTAGATCTTGGCAGGAATTTCAATGTTGACATTCCCGAAGTAGAAAAGCTCGAGAAAGCACTGAAACAGATGAGATGGAATAGTGAAGCCCGACGCAAACGCGATCAATATCAAACGCTTGAAGAGTGTGCTGAGTTCATTGCGCAGGGGGAGCAGCTAGGATTAGCTGAGTCGAACGAGCATCTTCTTTATTTCAAAGAGATGCACCGCCAAGGGGAGACCTGGGAAGCTAAGGCAAAGGAACTCATGGGGGTAGAAACTGTGCATTATCAACAGCTAGAAGCACTGTCGGCACAAGCGGCTCGGTTCCCGGTAACACCCGAAACTCTTACAGCGGTTGATGCCATCTTGACCAAGCAACGGGAAGCTCAGAGACAAATATCCGGATTTTTTGACGGAAGCAGGAATCCTGATTTTCGGAAACGGCCACACTACAAAGACGTGCGCGATCTGATGGAATCGTTGTCTGAGCTGAATAGCAAGCCCAACGGAACTATCGATCTGGAAAAGGAGCAAAAGCGCCATGAGGATTGGATGCGGAAAGGGAAAAAGTTGTTTGGCAAGGCTAATGCTCCGCTGCATATACTTAAGATGCATCTCCAGTATGTTGAGAAGAAGAACTCGTATTGTTTTGACCTTGAGGATAGATGTCGGCCACCAGTTGAGCCGGCATCGCGAGAGGCTAGTCCCGAAGGCGATTCTCATAATTGGACCGGGAGTAGGTCTAAAAAGAAGGATGTATTTTGCATTTGCAGACAGCAGGAGGCCGGGTTGATGATTGAGTGCGAACTTTGTCATGAATGGTAAGTCTAGATTCTTTGCAAGTAGAAAAAGAGTTCGTTGAACGCTAAATTTATGTTCAGGTACCACGGGAAATGTTTGAAAATTGCCAGAGGCAAAGTCAAGGAGTTCGATAGTTATACTTGCCCTATTTGCGATTGGCGGGTCAAGATTCCTCGCGACGCCGCTCGTCCCAAATTGGAAGAATTGCTCGATTGGCAGGCTGAAATCCCTGATCTCCCTTTCCAGCCGGAAGAAGAACAGGTGCTGGAATCGATTATTGATCAGGCAACCTCATTCCGGGAATTTGTGAGACCTCTTGTGAGTTCCAGTGCCTGTATGACGGCTGAAGAGGTCCCGACACAGATATTTTATCTGAGGAAGATGGAAGGAGCGGAAGTTCTCCTTGCATTTGAGACGAATTATTTCCGCCAGGAAATTCATAAATGGGCCCCAGTTGCACCGGAACCTCCACCAATCCTTGAGGTCTCGCTGTCTACTCGCAAACCACGACCCACAAAACAGCAGAAGATGATGGCCCAAATGGGGATTGAAAAGCCCGAGGATCTCCCACTCCATCTCAGGACTAAGCAGCACACTTTCTCCAACAAACGGAAGTCAACCGATTCCCACGGTTCTGGTCGACCTCCACCACTACAGCCGGCACCTATGCTCCGCTCCACCACTCCGTCAGGTGATCCTCGATCAGCTTCCACGGGCAATGCACCTACTCCAACCACTACTCTCTCTGCACCACTGCCTACTTCTCAACATTCAACCGCCTTTCCCTTTTCACATCCATTCCCAATGTCTTCGAATGACGCAAGCCCATCATACGCGCCTACGCCTACATCTTCCGCCTATCTCCCGCAGGTCAACAATGTCCACTCCCCCTCATTCGACCCCACCTCTCCCTCATCTCACCACCAAGTCCTAGATTCATCCCTCTTCAGCCCGCCAAGCTTCACCCGTACCAACCCCCTACATCCCCAAGGGATGGGCAAAGACGACGATGTTGACATGGACGGCCACATGGCCTTTGGCAGCAGTCCACGGGCAAATATGGATGACATTTTCGCCGAAATGACGAACCAGGATACGGAGCAGATGGAGGCGCTGGAGGTTAGTCATGCGAATGAAGCGCTGGAGGCGCTTAGGAGCGCTAGTAATAGTGGCGCGCGGGACTGCTCTACTTCGGAATCTGCTGATGACGGTGGTGGTTTCGGTCCGGAGAGCGGAGATGGGACACTTGGTGATGGTCAGGGGAGGGATGGCATGGACACATCCAACCATCTAGCTGATGAATTCTTGACTTGAGTTGTCTCGGCCATAGCGCGTGCATCGGATGATAGACGCCGTCTTCTTGCCTCCTACGCATTATGGCTGAAGCCTTTTTAAACCTATATAAGAACCATTTCCATCCCTCCCATTTTCATTTTCATTTTATTCTTTCTCAATCCGACGTTTGAGATTTTATGTGTAACTTTTCAACTTTTTTTTTTCATCCCAATCAGAGTACCTTATTATTTCCTTTCCTGCTACTTTAACTACACTTCTGTGGACAAACGAGTACATCGATTTATCACACATTTAACGGCGCGCCTAGGAGCGGTTGGAGTTTTAAATATAGTGGAAGTAAGGGGTCGGATAAATGGAAAGAAAGCGGGTGTGCGCTCTTCCACTTTTTTTTGTCTTTGACATTCCTTTTGTTTTTATTTCATTTTTCCTTGTTACATTATTACTTGCTGGAATCCCTTTTTATTGATCGATGGGGTTGCTTACTTTTTTTTAATTTCTTGCGCATTATTATGATTCTTATTCATTACATCAATGTCCCTGTCACTGTCTCTGTCTTTGTCACTGCTCGGTCCTGCTTAACCTCTGTTCTCCATGCGTCATCACCTTTTCTACATCTATTTGTTTCTTATGGGTGCTTTTCGTGCCTCTAGCGTTGTTCACGCACTTCATTTTCGGAAGTTTAAATTCTTCCTGGCTATCAATATTCTATTTCCGCGTCCTTCGGGGGAGAATGATGGAGGGCAGGAGGGACAGGGGATTGATTAAAACACGCCCCAACCCGGTTTAAGGAAGCGAAGAGGGACACGGATAATATTGGTTTGATTTGAGATCAAAAAAGGAATCATTCTGCGCCTGCTTTGCTCAATTTGTTTCCCCCGTGTTTTTGTTATCGGCAATTTCGTCCCTTTCCCTGTTCTGGACTGTTTGCTTGCCCGTTATCTGCCTGCTTGCGCGCCGATTTTCTGTAAAGTAGATTTCATTATTGTATTCTGAAGATTTGCTTCTTTCTGTGTTCTTCTCGGTATTACTTCTCCTGTTAACTTAGGGGATGAAAAAGTAGTGAGATTGTTTGAGAAACAATGCAGGAGCCTACTCTCTCAGGGAATACTATATCTCCCCTGATCTTCCTTGAGTTTAGGTGCCTTTTGCTTGTATTTTGATGCTGCCATGGCGTTGCGTGAGGGTGGACTATCAAGGCTAGAAAGGTATTCCATACAAGGGGGGGGGGGGGGGGAAGGGTCAATGACAGCGCGAACTAATTGAACGGCGTGAGGACTGTATTTTTTATGTTTTTGATGTTCAGTTATTAATGGCAAAATTACTAGATATCTACGTTATAATTTTTGGCGGATTAATGGGGCTAACCAACTTGGATATATGTCCCACTCAGACGTCCCAACAACTTGCGTTCGCTACTCTGTCACGTGCGGAGCAGCGGCTGCCGAGCAAGAGGATCGTGTCTCTAACCGCTGTTAACGATCAACAACAGACGTCAACCAGACAACTTATCCTGGTTTTCTTCCGGGGCCAAACCACTGGAATAGGCACAACTATAAACATGGGTGACAAACTGATTCCGACGAGAGAGATATATATGTATTCCTCCTCCTCTATTTCAATGCTGCTGACTCCATTATCATCATCACCATTATCACCATGAACAGAACGGTAACACTCACCCAGCGGACAGATTTGCTCCGCTTCCTCAAACAAGCATGCTCTTCCTCCCCTCTCCTTTCTCAACAATCACCACCTATTTCCACCTCTTCTTCCATACCTGTACCTCAGTCTAAATGTCAAATATATGTTCTTGGCAACCCCTCTGCGGATTTAGACTCCATAATCTCTGCTATTATATATTCATATTTTGCCACTAGAGTGGTCTCATCTGCTTCTACCGATGCATCATCATCACCATCATCATCAAGAAATGGAGGCAAGGAAAAGTCAATCCTCCGTCAATATATCCCTTTAATATATTTACCAGATGTTCATGCAGGGAAGGAGTTGGCGAGGTTGAGGCCGGAGTTCGTAACGGCCTTGCGACTTGCGGTGGGTTGGGATCGACGAGGAAGAGGAGGAGGAGGAGGAGGAGGAGGTGTAACTGACTCCTGGGAAGATCAAAAAGTCGATGATGAGGAATTGGGAAGGTGTGTTTTAACTACTGCGGATTTAAAGGAGACGTTGATGGTTTCATGGGCCGGTCCCAGGAAGGGGAGAGAAAAGGAGATGACTGATAAAAGAAATGATGAAGACACAATATCCCAGAATGAAAACAACAGCAGCAACCCATCAGAAGAACAGAAAAGCCTAAATGTCATGATGGTAGATTGGAACGTGATGCCCAAAGTCCCACCAAACGGAGACGTACGTGTTATTGAAGGGCTTTCTGATGCACTCCCCGGTCTGCATCTCTCCATTGTTGGCTGCATAGACCACCATGAAGACGAAGCTTTTGTCTCCAGAAATATTCCTCTACATCCAATGGACCCCTGTTGTATCGAGACAGGCATAGGAAGCTGCACCTCGCTTGTAATTCGTGAGCTGCGAGCTGCGGGCCTTTGGACTGATGAGTCTTCCTCCTCATCTTACACCACCACTTTTGGCATGGAGACGCTCACGAACAGCTCTAATGATCCATTGCTACGTGATTCCAAAGATTTAAGCTCCTTCCATGAAGCCCAGGTGGCAAAACTTGCCATGGCAGCTATCTTAGTTGACACTGCCAACATGACTGCGAAAGGCAAAGTATCCGCCGTCGATACTGCAGCCGTTCAGTTTCTGGAAACCAAGATACATGCAGGCATTAGCGCGCATTTTCGCGATGCTAAACCCAAATGCCCTGGTAGCAGCAGCGGTAAGGGTAATCTGGACTGGGACCGACAGGCCTTCTACGATGAAATCGCCAAAGCGAAGGAGAATAGCGTTGATAACCTAACGGTTCTCGAGGTGCTGGGGAGGGATTATAAAGAGTGGACCGATACTCTTGTTAGCAAACCATCAGCCAGCTCCAGCGGCGACCCAACTGTGAAATTTGGCATCTGCTGCATGGTCAAGCCGCTCTCATGGCTTGTCGAGAAATGTATCCAAGAATCTAAGGCTGCTACGGATAAACCTACCACCAAAACACTACTCAAATACCTCTCCTTATTCGTCAGGCAAAGAGACATCGATCTTGTCGCCATCATGACAGCTTTCAGAACTGAACCAACCAGAGAGTTTCGTCGGGAACTGCTAATATATGTCCTGAATCGTGGTTGCGTTCCTGCCACGGAGAGATTTGAGACTTCTGCGGTCGGGGAGCTGGGGCTGGAGGAGGGTATTTGGACCAGCACCGATGCTGATGCTGATTGGATTCGAGACCCCCCCCTGTCGACTCGAGCTGGAGCAAATGGTAAGGATGAGGGTTGTTATATGCGAGTATGGAGACAGAAAGATGTGTCGAAGAGTAGAAAACAGGTTGCGCCGTTGCTGAGGTCGACTTTGAATGGTGGCAGGCTCTGACTTGGGGTAGGTACACTGGAAAATGAATTTAATTTGAAATTCAGGGGACCGTTAGACATCTGCTATATGCATATCGTGCGATTTACTCTATTGATATTGCATACTTAGTCTGGATATTTATTTTTAATATCGGAGTTTATTTTCGTGTCGTTTGATAAATTTGGGATTTTGTCTAAGTGACTGTGGTTGTTTACGAAGCAATTACAGCCTTGGAGTCTATAACTAGAGCATGGATCGATTACTGATAATATTTATTAGAACCAGCTATGTCCCGAATGACAGAACCAATTAAAATCTCCACCTCCGAAATAGGAGAATCAAATATAGATATCTTCTATAAATAAACATCGAGGAATCAGTTCTCAAATCTCAGAATCCAATCTGCCAAGACGCTGACTATCTGTCAAGATGCCCCAGCGGCGCTATTCCCAAAAGAGGGCTCGAAAACGTTGCCCCTGACTACCGATAACAGAGAGATGAAAGAGACATTGGTTCATATAATGAAACTTCAAGAGTAGTTGGAAAACCCATTGAAATTGCTCCAAAAGCTACAACAGTATTTTGCAAGACGGGCAGCAGCCAAAATCTTATGAGCAAATGGATAAAAAGCCCATCTATGAATATGAGGAAGGCTCAATATTTATTGTTTTTCTTCTTATTGCAAAGCCGGTGACTTATTGATGAAAAAAAAAGAAGCACCAAGCTGATCACCATAAAAATACATTAAACGGTGCGTAGAGTATTTATTAAAAACTCAAGCAAACTCTTGGAAATTTGGGACATTAGACACGAACATATTACCAAGTGATATATTAAGAAAGCACAAGGACAAAAATCTCCAGATAAAATGCCACTAGCAATCCTAAAACAAGAGGAAGGAAGAAGAGATCAATCATCTAATACTCCGTCATATAGCCCAAATGAACAATTAGGCGCCGAAAACAAAAAGAAGAAACAAGAGGAAGTTCTTTTTAGAAGACAAAAACGTGGAGAAAGGTATTATCGGAAGGGAGAGAAACGGAAACAGAAAAGATCAGAAACATTCCCACTCCCCAAAAACGCACCACCTCGCACTGCGGTCAGCAAGCACCAAACCCCTCCAAACCCCCCTCTCACCAACCTTGATCACCGTTTCCCATACGCTGCCGTCGGGAGGACCTTCATCTCCCAAATCGCGACCACCAGTACTTGTGGTGAGCATATTATCGGACTTGCGCGTCAGTCTTAATATCCTCCCCGACGGAGCTTGTATGGCTAGCTTCGCAGGCTTATAGGGATGCTGCTGCGACTGCTTGTTGGTCAACGACACATTGGAGGTGGAGGAAGAGAAGGTTTGATTTATGTATGAGGAGCCTGTCGATGCGTTTGAGCCTGTGACGGAGGATGTCATGCTGAGAGCACTGGCGGGACGAGCGAAGGGGTTTTGCGAGATGTGGCAGTTACCATCACTGGGATTTGAGGGGAGCGATGACGGGTGTTGGCGGACGGCGAAGACAAAGGTGTTATTGACTGCAAGTCTGAAACATTGTGGTTGGATGACGTAAAGGTCATGACGTTGGGCGTGAGGTGTCGGATGGCGAAGTATAAACTCGTAGGGAGGGTTATCTCCTGTGTGAACAATCGGAAGCGCAAACGCTAGAGGGTGAGGGATATCCTTGATGGAATGCATTAGTCCCTTCTTTCCGGCATATACTTTCAAAACACCCTGTCCCTCGTCTCCAGGCAACATAGCCTTGATCGTAAATCGCTTCTGTCCACCAATCCAGTCCGGCTGAGCAAGCGCACGTTTCTTGACCGTGTCGCCAGTCTCGAAGAAGTCCCCATCGTTATCGCGGTCAAACGCAAGGGCTTCAACCTCTGCGACACACTCAACGTCTGGCGGTACATAAACACGGACATGGACTACCTCAAGCCCATTGATTCGGATAAGACTTGTATCATAACTAGGAAACCGAAGACCGTTCTTGAAGAAAGGCGGACAAACACAAGGCAGCGCCAGTAGAACATCGGGAGACACGGGAGGACAGATTTTCTGCTGCTCAGGATTAAGAGGAACGTGAGAGTAGCAAATCTCCATTGGACGAGTTAGGAAGTACCAGGGCTCAGCAACCTGGGAATTAAAGCTTGAATACAAACTTCTTCGAGGGTGAGTCGGGCTGGCCAAAGAGCAATCCATGATCCTCCATTCTCCATCTATAAGTACCACATTCCACCAATGGTTTGGACGCGATAGGGAGTCAAGATCCAGTTGCTCTCCTGGTGTTTTGAGATAGCCATGCACAACCTCAGCGTGCATTCCAACAGCAGAGCACATTTCCCGTACCAGATGGGCAACTTCTTGAGAACTTCCTCTTTTCATCTGTAAGACCCTTTTCAAGTTGACACTCCCATCGACGTCATCATCCCATGCAATCCTTTCCCCAACCCATGTAAATATTGCACGCAACCGCTGTCCATCACTGCGGTGCGGACGACAGACATACCCTTGAGATAGACTGGTCGGGTTTAGTATTGGTGGTAGGCTACTGATAAAGCGGACACTTTTGTCAACAAGCTGCAAATTCACTGCAGCCCAATTAGTCGGTTCCGCTATCGGTAATCCGTCTATTCCCTCATCCCCCTCTGCACCTTCATAGAGCTCCTCAACTGCATATATTACCGGGTAGTCAAGCATTTGGCACCTTTCTGCCATCTCAACCAGTTCATGACGGCTTGGTGTTGTAGACCTGTTGACATCTCTTCGTACCTGAACCCAGTCCACTGCTCCACCCAATCCATTTTCTTTTGCAACATTTTTCCCAGAGTGAGGTGATGCCTGTGATGATATCCCCAAAGCCACGCGACTTTTAGTTGGCGATGCGGCTCCCCCGGAACTTGAAACAATATTACTCCGGGCTGTCGCAGCCCCTGTTTTGGCAGACTCAAGAATTTTCTTGAGGAAACCTGTTTTTTTGGTCTTAAGCGTGGTAAGACCGCCGTACATACTTGTTACGTCTTTATTATATTCGTTCCATCCAACAGCCGAAGTTGCTCCTTGTCTCGAAGAATCGTGGCTGGAATGGAAAGAAATCCCTGTCAGAGGTGTTTGGGGCCGCATGCTGCTGTTAGAGGCTTTATCAGAGCCAATTAATCCAGAGGGACGGAATGTACCCATGGAGGTATTTGGTCTACTTATATGCCGTGCAAAGCTTGCGGCGCTAGTAGCGCTTAATCCTGAAGCTGATAGGCCACTCATCACGCTATGATGAGTACGTCTTGTGCTGGATGAATTGGTTGTCGCATCGCTTTGTACACCACTGGAAGAATTGGTAGCGCTAGATTTTGTTGTGAATGTTCGCTCAAGAACATCTTTATCAAGTTCGAATGCCGATTTTCGAGTTCTTAGTCGCGGTCCCTGATTGCTTTGATTTGAAAAGGACTCTGGTTTGGAATGAATAGGGCTTTTTGTAGCCGGAGTTAGTGGAAGGCCTTTACTCCCAGGTGTCATGTGAAGTTCGTCTGAGTATTTCCTATTTTGTGCGTGCAGCTGCCGGAGTCTGCTTTCCATCCTCTGAACGTAATTATTCAACTGGGGTGGACCATCTAGGTGCTGATCCTGTGCACTAGAATGATTATTCTCAAATTGCTGACTATTGCCGTCACCCAGTCCCAGGGAGGTCATGGGGCGGTGGATTGGATTAGGCGCGGTATGATCTTGAAGATGGTCGAAGGCTTCTGGGGACCATGGATGGAAGGGAGAGCGACATCGATGCGGCTCGGGAGAAGCGTCATCATGATTAAGACCCATATCTTGTAATGAGGACATGACATCTTCCATGGCATCTCTAAGCGGAGATGGAGTGTGGCCATAAACCGCAGGAGAGTGGGAATGTGGAGAAGGGGTCCTGGATATCATTGGATACACATAATTCATAGAATAAGGTGCAGAAATAGGTGATGGATTGGTGTGCCTTGGTGATGGTTGGCTTTTGACAGAAATTCGGTGAGGGGGAGGTGGAGGTGGAGGAGACTCAGCATCTGAAGGTGGTGCAGGGGAAGCGGCATGATGAAAAGGCTGCGAGAAAGAGCCACGGTGTTCCATGGCGAGAGGAGACCCAGCATGGGATATAAACCCAGAGTGTTGAACTGGAGCTGAAGAATTGGCATCAGATGGATGATGGCCATGGGAAAAATAACCACTCTGCTGAATTGGAGCTGGAGAAACCGCACGAGATAGGTCGGAGTAAGAACCCTGAGGTGGCATAGGGGAAGGAGACCTAGAATGGGATATGGGCTCCCAGTGCTGTATAGGTGGTGCTGGAGAGATTGAACGGGGAAGAGGATGATGGTGATTGAAAGAACCACGATGGTGCATGGGTGAAGGAGACACAGCACGGGTTACTGACGGATGGTGTTCTATCGCCACAGGAGAAACGGAGGGAGGGCGATAAGAGAATGAACCACGGTTTTGGATTTGGGTTGGAGATACAGGGCGGGCCTGGTTGGAAATAGACCCGCAATGTTGCAAAGGCAAAGGAGAAACTGGACGGGAAATGGATCCAAACTGTTGCATGTGTGAAGGGGGGATGGAGCTAGAAATGGAGCTTTGATGTTTAGGTGCAGCGGGGGAAACAGAGTGCGGGGACCCGCGTGAGGAAGATTCACGATGCTTAGTTAACGAGGGTGGAGTTCTCGCTGAACTGGAGCTCTCCCGTGTCGATGAATTTTGTAAAGATGAAACCATTGGCCCATTGTTGTTGTTGTTGCAATTATTGTTATTATTATTATTGTTAACATTTTCCTCATTCTGTCTAATCCGCAACGTTTCCGAAGGTCCGACAACTTCTTTGTAACCCTGAAATGGCTTGCGAAATACGGTTTTCTGTTTCTTAGGGGGTTCAGCAGCAGAATTGGAGGCTGATAAACGGAGTGAATTCATTGTCGATCCAGCAGGACCGCCAGGCATTGGGCTGATGGACCGACTACCCGGGGCAAAGTCATCTCCAAGCACCTTGACGAAGTTCGAGGGGAACACGCCAACCATACGTTTGTTTCGACGTAGACGGCCGGTCCACCATGATCCGTCACCAGCATTCAAGCATTCAATAAGGTCACCCTCCACAAATCCCAAGTCTCTTTTTGTCTCTCCACCCCATGAGTATACAGCCTGACACCAGCAGGGGAATCGGGTGGGGAGGACTGGTGCGGTGGGAGCCATTGTCGAAGAGGGATCACCTAGATAAGGAGGGATTTGATGAATAAGGCGAAGTGTGAAAGCTACGGATCAGGAAAAAACATCATAACATTGGGTGTAAACAGGAGATGTGGTATTTCGGATGCGACCGACCAGCCTGCTGGGTACGGAGTGGGACAAAACAATGCAGCACAATCGCCTAATAACGAGCGACAGGGGAGGCGAGGCAATGGGCGTAAAAGCACGGGGTATTTGAACACAGAGGCGGCTGTGGACCCAGTCGTAGCTGATCTCAGATGTGTAATAACTCCATGCGGCCAGAAAACCATAACTGTACCACGTCAAATATGATGAGATGTTGTACGGAAAATAGCGGTATGTTGCAATGGTGTAATGATGTTGCTGTATGTGATTTTTACTGTTGTTGTTGTTTTTGTCGTCTGGAGCTATGCAGATCTTGATGTTGTTGGTTGATGTTTACGAATTGCTGCTTTGGGTCTAGCGTCGATCGGTAGGGCTGAGGCTCTTCTCCCCCACAGCGGAAAAACCCAAATATCACGGATAAGACACCTCAATATGCAATTATGGAGTATGTACTTTTGTGGTTCTGTGTACTGTAGCAGTATGACACTGCTTAACCTTGGAATAGAAGAATAACGATGGCGTTTTAGTTGGATAACACGCTGCACAGACCAACTGCCAGCCTTCATTCCCATGGGTTGGGTCGTTTGCAGCTTTTTGCACGGGCCCGGATCAGTGGAAACAGCCAAACAATTGCTTCTTCTGGTCTTTGGTCTCATTAAGATCTCGAATGCCTGTCTCGCAGATATAGGTCAATATATTTGGCCAGAACCCCACTCGAAGTAGTTATACGTTTCGAGATTCCATCGTGTGCCAGACGTTTGCATTTATGTTGTCCGCTGGGTTGGAGCCCAAATATAGACGCTCCAGTTCATAAATGTCATTTTCTCCCTCTGCATAATCTTTTATAGCACCAGGCTTAGAAACCTTATAAAGGTCAGATATTACAACCACTGATACTCTACCTGACATCACTCTCCAGCAAAGCACTGCAGGTAAACTGCCTGTTTTTGTTGCTCACATCCCCACTGTCAGATATTTATCCGATCAGCCACTATCATGACAACATCTACATCCGGCTCCAGGGCCGCAACACTAGCATCCGATGCGATTTAGTTATGAGGAGCCGCCTCAACGGCTTGTGCACCATGGACAAAGGTCTCTCGCCAACTCTACCCCGCCACAGAGCGGCCGCGATTGCATCATCTTCAATTGAATATGCAACCCACCACTTCGATTCTCCTTGTTTTCTGTCTCCCAGACGGTTAGCAATGCATTCATAACAGTCGCACTAGAACTCAACGTCAAGATTTTAACGACCCGCCTATACTTCTCTTCTAGAACCTTCCCGTACAAAAACTGCCGTAAACCATCCTCAATTCGAGTCCATGTAGCATTCTCATACCTCTCCCGCAAATAGTCATGCATCTTCCCCACCGTCACTTGAATGCCTCTCTCCCCATCCCAATTGCTGTCCACCATCCCTACCTCCCAACCCCCATCGCTGGTGAGCACCGATGACCTCCTCTCCCCGCGCTCACCATACCGATCTTGAACGTCCCCTTCGTCCAAATGCGCCAACCCCAACCTCTTCCTATCCAGTGCCTTGACAATCGCACTCGTAATCGACGCATTCATACTAGGCTGTCCATACTTGGATAAATTCATCCTGCCTTACGACACGACTCCCACCACATCTCCAACGACAAATGGTTAAGAATCTCACAATTTGCTACCGTTTACCCCTTGACTCTGCAATCACCCTCTCCCCAATGAATTCTGCATGTGCACCAGGGGGATTATGGCCTTTGTAGCGAGCTCTTTCGCTCCTCTGACATGGTCTGTCCGGAGGCGGAAGAGGCCGTTGGAGAGCGCGTCTTTGGCTTCGGGATATGCAGTTCCTTCGAACTTGCGAGCAGGCTGTGAGAGGGGCAGTGGAGAGATCTGGAATGTCCATAACGGAGGAGGCTTGCATGTTCATTGTTGGACTGGGAATGCTCTTGTCCGACTTTTTCCATGCAGAAGTTGAAAGGAGTACGGATTGAGAGGCAAAGAAGTAAGCATACAGTATTTCTTTGCAAAGTGTGTAATGTATTTATAGAGGTTAGAGAAAAAAGACTTTAATATTCTTGTGTATGTGTAGAATAATATGTGTCTTCTTGGACATTCTGTAGCTTGAAGTTACTGTGGGGTTAAGAGGATGATGTGGGTAAGGTTGGGAAGATGTTGAGACCTAGATGTTGATAGACTAAATAAATTAAATAGTTATAATTAAACTCCTGTTGATCAACCAGATTACATGGAGAGTGCCAGATCTTCCCGCCATCGCCATCTGCCGGAAAAGATAATTACAAATTCATGAATCATCAAAACACCTGCAGTTAGGGTAGATAAGTTTATTGAATCCATCCATGATTACATTAATGTGTAGACCTTTTACAGTATTCTTGCAGTAAACCAATAACCAATCTAGGTTCTGGCACAGATTGAAGTATGCACCCTGGGATACCCAAAAGAGCCTGAACAATAAACATCACCGAAATGGAGAAAACAATCCGGCAATAAGGAGAAACCAGTCAGTGGCAAATAACTCATAAAGCATGCCTATTGATGTATTTTACTCGTTGCGCCCGTATCTGTATTGCATCTGGCTCCGTAATTTGTTGTCCAAACGAAGATGGCAAAAAGATGCGGCAAGGAGGTGCCAAAATAAAATAGAAATGGACAACAAAAAAATCCCTCCAACACAGATCTTCCTCCTTCCATTTCCAACATTTGCTCTCTTCCTTGTACTTCACAGACTTCTTGGCAAGAACACACATTCCCCCTAAGCGTTATATATAGCCCACCAAAGATATATCCAGGGAATGTTCGTCCTGCGAATAGAAGATAAGAAATAACCCACCCGCCCGCCAACTTAGCCATGAGGGATAAAATTTTGTCAATACAAACGTACACATACAGCATCATCATAAATCAGCACGGAAACCTCAACGCACTACCCCGAATACTTCCACCACCAACATTAATCGGGCCGGGACTCGCAGGCCGACTGGCCCCCCATTTCGGGCTGCGAGGCTGCAGACTAGTTGCCCTCGTCGACGGTCGATTTTTCTTCATCTCTCGAAGCTCCTCCTCCTTCCGATTCAACATCTCATCCCTCTGTGATAGCTTCATTTCCAGCTCCTCGATCCGCGAAAGATGCGTTTGTTCGTCGCTTTTCAATCGCAGTTGCTTTAACTTTGCCAAGTCAGCAGTTGCCTTTAACTTCAGTTCGCCTATCTCTTCCTCGAGCTGGCGAAGCTCCATAGCTGTTTGGGCCGCGGCTGTGGAGGCGTTTTGGTATTGTTGTCGTGTATATTCTGTTTGCGAACGTTCTTGTTGGACAGTTCGTTGGAGGCTGGCATTTTCCTTCGTCAGGCGGCGCACCTCCTCGCGGGCCTTTTCGAGGTCTGCATCCGTGCCTCCTCCCTCCTTTATAGTGTTCCTGGCATCCTCTAGATCCTTAGTTAAAGCTGCTTTATCGTCTTTGAGCTTGGCAATTTCTATTTTTTGTCGTTCGAGACGATCCGAAGATTTCTGTGACGCTTCAAGGACTTGGTCGAGCTCTTGTCGCAATTTATGGTAATTGTTTAGTCTGGTTTCATACCGGTGTTGAAGTTTCGAGAAGCTCTTTTCCGTCGTTTCCAGGCGCGCTTGCATATTCTTTAACGTAATTTGAAGTTGACTAACTTCGAATTCCATGGCGTTTTTCGCTTTAACCAGACTCAGTTCACTGAGGTGGGAGTTGACTTCATCTAGGGTTTGTGCTTGACCCTTCATCGAATCGCTGACGTGGGTAATGTCTTGGAAAGGTGTCATTCTTTGTTTCTTGGATTGATTGCCATCTTCGTCCCCTTCATTTTCCTGCAGGTTTATTAGGATCGTGAATCTTAAGGCTTGATATTGACGCACTCACCAACAGTCTTTTTTGGCCAGAAGACGTCATGGATCGAATCTGCGCTGCTTCCAAGACAATTGGAGTCCCCTCTGGTGTCTCTACGGGTATCAACTCAACAGCTGCAACAGGCCAAACGCGGGCTGAAGGCTCCGTTCTTAAATAGAGGGCAACTTCTACAGCATTTTCTTGAGCTCCCAGGGCGTCGTCTTGAAGTTCTCCAGCTGTATCACTAAGATCCTGAGTGCATTTGACGAGAAGATGAAGTTTAGTCAGTTCTGATGTTTGCGGCAAGCATCTTTCAATGTGTTCTAGAGTATTAGAGACAAGCAGGCGAATAACTGGTAAAAGGGAATCAGTGGGCGAAAATTTCGATCTTATTTGGCGAATTGCTGGGTTTTCTGCATCAAAAGAATTGTCTAAGGCAATGATTGCGACCGGAGTTTTGTATGGTTGCGATATTCTCTCATCTGTTGCCACTCGGACCGCAAAGCTGAGCTGGCCCCTGGAAAGAGATAGTTCAGTATCACCTGAGGAATCCGCCGCAGGTTGAGTGTGCGTAAATCCCTTGCCTATAAGGTAATTTTCCACGATCTTGACAGCCATATCTGTTTTCGCAACGATAATAATGTGAAAATCATCATTTCTGGCCACATCGATCAAGTAACCAAGAAATTGGAACTTCGAGCTCGAATATTCGGCCCATGCGGCTTCTTTGGCGGGATTAGCTCCTGGGACAGCCGGTTGGTCATTCAAGTCAGGATGCGTTGTTATGTTATTCAGCCTATAAATCATCTTCCTCATCTTAAAGACATGCGTGTCATACTATATATATGTGAGAATTGGGAGACTTTTTACATCGGGGTCAAGGGCTACCAACCTCTGAAGCAGTACTCCTGCCTGTTTCCAACAATGAAGTGTCCTCCAGGAATTTAAGAATATTCTTGTTGTTAGAAGAAATAGTTATATCATAGTCATCCTTTACTCTGGGGTCCATTGACAGAGGAATAGCATATTCCATTGGCCCCAGTTGAATGCCTACATATTGTGATTCTGGAGCTTCTTCAATGGAAGGAGCGGGCGGTTCCAATTCTGCTAGGTGTTCCCCTATTGGTTCTGCGACAACCTCCGGAACATCTATCTCTCCAGCAAGATTTGGTTGGGACTCTGCAAGTAATTCTGCCGCTTCTACTGGATTTTCCAGTGTATAATGTAGCGCCTGGGGCGCAATAAATGTGCTTGGGGCTTCGCTCGTCACAGCGACATGGGCCGGATGCGTAGTGGGTTCTTTATCCACGCGTACATTTAAGGGTGAAACCGTATCTCTGGCTGGAGCAGATTGCGACGGTTCAATGTCGCCTGCAGACGAAGGTGTCACACTCGCACTGGCACTTTGCGGCTCTTGGATGAGAGACCGTTCATGCGCACGAATATATCTCATTTTCTCTCTGAAATTCGTTCCTAGGTTATTACAGCGGGCTTCCTCCATACCCGTAAGGGGGTTTGGTGAATCACCAGTGGGCGAAGATTCATTCATATTGATGATGGAGTTGGGTGGAAAATTTGGGATCTGTGATGGCCTGTTGTTGGATGTCAATTGCAATGATGCCAAAGCGCGGATGTTACCTGAATTACGACAAGACAAAAAGCCGTTTGATGGATCCCAGGATTCGACGGTTGATTGAAAACAACTGCCTCGATACTTTCAGGGACGGTGTCAACTCTCCAGCTTGAAATGGTTCCCCCTTGGTGAATGGGTGTTTGGTTATGCTAAGGGCCTTGTACTAGCGACAAATGGTAATAAACCTGGGTGTCCCTTTGGAAATAGTTACAAAGAGATTTGGTACAATAGTTAGGTGTGTGAAGAGAAATGATATATTGGCGTACAGGATAAACTGGACTGGCCAATGGGTGAATGGGATCGGCAAGATCTCTGACTCTGATGCAGCGAGAGAAGCGCTGGCGGAGTTTTGGCTATTTTGATGGTAGTTCCACTGTCGTAGAGCTTTTTGGTTCCGTAAGGGTGATGTTAATTTGAAATTAGAACAATGTCGCTGGGTTCTCTGAAATCGAACTGATTCCGAAGAAATTTGGGAACTAAAGGCTGCCTGTGGAGGATTTTCACAAGAGCTTAAAAAAATGCGCTGTTGAGCGCTCTCGGCAATTGATGTTGGCTAACTGGATGTCGACTGGTTCAAAAGTTCATTTCGCCTCAGTGGTTGAATTTAATTGCAGAGAACAATAACTAAAAGATTCCCAGGACCCAAACGGAGAGGTTTGTTCAATTTGAGTCAATAAGGTGGGGCTGTGAATCAACTGGGCTGAACAAACTTGAAGGTAACTCCTGGTCAAGATTTGGCGCTAACTCTGGCTCGAGGAGCTGTAGGTCAATTGGTTGGCCTAGACGGAGGAGTCAAGATAGTGTAAACTGCCACTTATCGCAGATAGCCTAAGACTTATAGACTTATATGAAGAGGCTTGACTTTCTGAAGCAATTGAAAACACGGAATTTTGGCTGAAGACTGCGTGTCTGGCAAGGCTGACCAGCCGTAGCAGATGTGGTCGAGGAGACAGACTCAAAAGAGGACTGATGATCAAAACTACCGGATATGTCAGTGGAGGTCAACTTTCCCGTTTTTCTGTTCTCCCAGATCTGAATTGCAATGTCGTTTGGGAAGTGTTTAGGTTCCTGGAAGATGTCAGCTTCTGCTTACAGTTGCCACAAGAAGACACACACTAAACAGATTCATGTTTAAAACATGGACAGAAATTTTGCAAATCATAGAAAAGCGCAAACCAAAAAATAAATTATAGGGTAAAGTAAAGACCTAAAGCTATGCAACCACTGTTGTTGCATGTACTTTGTTTCTACAACTTACCCAGGTCAGTTGGGAAGGCTTTCCCTAGCAATGAGATACCTATCAACACCTATCAGTTGGTTCGTCAAGAATATGTTATGTCTTATGGGATATTGCTGATCGATATTGATAGATATTTGATCTGACAGCAATGCCAAGTTCTCAGATCCAGTAGTTGTAGATTCCTGGGTGTTGAGCGTATTTCTGGATTTGCGCGATGATGAGACGATATGTGCAGTTGTAGTAGAAGTCTTTCGTGTGTCCGTCCCATTATGCATGCATGGATATGAGGGGGCTACAATCCATTTTCAGCGAACAGGGTGGGGAGATAACTATAATATAGAATGAAGCAGGGGCTATATAGCGTAGGATACCGAACGAATCCAGTGATTCAGCGGCAGAGCATGGACATGAAGGCGTGTGTATTCGGAGTGGAATTGAGATGATATTGAAACAATGATGGGAAAGGTTTAACTAACTTAGTTAAATAACTAGTTAGGTTATATATTTATGAGCGCTGGCTGACATAATTATCCTGTTCATCACGTGAGTGGTAGCCTCTTAACTTAAAATCTCCACCAGCGATACTTAAGCAGCTTGGCTTTTGCTCCCCTCTTCCGCAGGATGCGCACAAGCTCCACTCCTCGGCTACCAAATTATCCAGAAACAAAATCTAGATGGTCAAACAGTGTGGGAGTCAGGGACATGTTGGAGAGCAGGACCACAAGTTCATCAAGAGGGTCACTCTATTTTATTTATTATTGTATAACTATATGATTATATCTTGCGTTTATATGGCTTCTATATCATCGATTGCTCCTCTTTCCACTTGTCATAGTCAAAACCCACATCCTCCAAGCTCCGACAGCTATGTCTCTCTTCCCCCTTCATAACAAATGCTTTCTTAATCAGCGGGAACCGTTCCCGAGTCCACCTCTCTTTCTTACCCCAGGAAGTGCACCCCTTGCCCCGACCGCCATTTTCAAGTCCCGGCCTCAGCTCCGCCTGTGCGGCCCAGTCGCGCAGCATGTCCAGATAATCAGCATCCAGCGGGAAATGCATGATATGGAATGACTTGCCAGATCCCCGCGCAGCTACCTCAGCATCTTCCCACTCATACATTTCCTCCCTCGATGGGAGTGTGAGTCGACCGGACCAGACTCGCGCAATGACAGCGCATTGATTTTCTGCTGTGGGAAATGGGATGACTCTCTGACTCAAAACAGGGAAGGCCAAAGTAGGTTGGTCTGCACAAAATATATGCTGATACACGTGGAGGGTCCTGTTTCCGTCCTCAATAACTGGGGGATTCAGGGACGACAGGAAGGGGAACGAGTAGTAATATCCAGTACAAAACAACACAGCGTCCAAATCCTCTTCGATAGCCCCATTCTCGAATCGAACCGCTCGGTTATGAGTATTCGGGGATAAAAATTCAATGATCTGCGGATACTCATTTCTGCCACTATCTGCTGCGACCGCGAGATAGGACGCAGATCGCGAAGAAACCAGCAGCGGCTTACGACAAACTTTGCTTATCTGTGCCCCAATATCAACTCCTGAGGCGGAGTTGCCAACAATAAGCACTTTCTTATCCCTGAACTCCTCAGGAGATGAGTACGATTTGGAATGCTTTATTGTCTCCCGATATGCCACGTTCCATTCCAATATCCCAGGGATCGGTGGAACATGAGGTACAGTGTAATGCCCACTCGCCACCACAACAGCATCGTAGATGTCAGTCTCTTGAGCTCCGCTCTCCAAGTGCCTTCGAGTTACCGCCCACGTTCCCGCAAGCGCATCCTCGAGCCTAACATCCACAACCTGGACTTGGAACTGTATGAGATGTTTAACGTCCAAACTGTACTCTTCTATGTATCGTAGGACAGTCTCGAATCCAGGAAACAACTGCGTACCCGTGGGAAACGGTTGGTCTGAGAATTGCATCAAAGGATAGGGGATATTTGTCTCCAATCCATCGTAGAGTGGTGAAATAAAGGACGTCTCCTTTCTACCTGGTTTTTCCGCTGAGGAAGCGTTCGGCGATCCCGCTGAAGAATGCCAAATAGGCTCTTCTACAGGTAAATGAGCGTTCGTCTGTGGGATGTCTATGACAGCCCGAGTCTTGTCTGCAGCTGGTGAATAGTTCCATACCCCACCTACTCTACTGCGCTGCTCGAAGATATCTATCTTTTCAAAATATTTCTCAGCGAGGAGGAGTCTACGGGACGCGAATTAGCAACTACCTTGCTATGATAGCTATGATAACTAATCATGGAAATACATGACATTTTTGGTTATCCACTTACTTCGCAGCAGCCAATCCGGACGGCCCAGCGCCGATAATTGCGACGTTGCGCACTCGGTGTGTATTGGGCGGCATGTTTCTGCCACTGACTAAACAATGCATGCTTTCAAAGGATTCTCGTCTTAGTCTGGTCGAGTTGGCGGTGTGTCACCACATATACTTTTCTGGTTGGCTGGTTCCAGGTTCGGCAAATGTCCTGCTTTGACCGCCTTTCCCTAAGGCCGGCCGCTAGACGTGACATGACGTCATCGACGGAATTTCATCGGCAATAAACGGAAGAATTTGGGAGATATACTTCTATGTGTTTGATCTAGCAAATATGCGAGCCTGGCGATCAAACCTAACACGTCATAGCCGAGATAAAAGATGAAGTTACCGTCTTGCAGTCCATTTATTCTGGATAAACAACTGTCGATGAGTATATATTCTTGAAAGTATTCGTACTCCGAAACATTATTATATTAGTCATATGCATTCTTTAGCCGTCCACACGGATAATTCGGATAAATACTGTCATGAATGCCGGATTATAGAGACGATAATTCAGTCTCGATGAGCCGTGTTGCCCTCATATATCAGATGCCAAACTGGCCAACAGGCAGTATATATACATGACCATCTGTTTCGACTGTGCTCAACACCACCTGTTTCAAAGGGCATCCGAGACCTCGTTGATGAGCTTAATATCCGATATCTTCACGCCGAAATGCGGGAATCAAGAGACAATAAGAAATATATTCTTTTTGAAAAATGCCAGCACCCCAAATTTTCATATCCTTTCTTTAGATTTGCATCCAATTTTTCATCTCGAACAGCTCGAGCAATGAGTTTTCGGCCTCATCAAAAGAAAGGTAAGAATGACACGAATACGCGCGCCAATAAACCCAGGAGCAGCTAGAGATAATACTTGCATGCAATTTAAATGGAGATGGATAAAGTTATCTCCTTCTGCGAATGATCCCAGCCTGATCAATATTGCTATCATTGACGCTGGAATCTTTGTTGATGTGACGTCATACCTTCTCAGTGTAAGCTGTGCGACCTAGACGGCTCGGGAGCTCTTAAACCTTAAGATAAGGTGCAGCGCATGTGGCGATTGAGATTCAATCTATATATAGTGCGTGCAACTTTCATTACCGATATAGTTTGATTCACGGCGAGGACCCATGGATAATAATAACAGCAAGCTCACACAATCGTCTTCTGAAAAGCGAATCATACTCGCTAGAAGTTGTCGATTTTGAGAGCATGATTTCACACTTTTGCCCTATATATCGCGAATAAACAGGAACATAAAGTTAGGAAGAAATACAGGAGAAAAAGCATCACGTTGAAGGTCCCACTCTCTTTCGCAACATGCTTAACCTCATCTTCCAATCCGGAGTCAAATGCCTTAACCCAAAAAACTCAAGGCTATTACTACAACAGAATTCCCCACTGTTGAGCTTGCATTTCCTGATCTACAAACTTTTGCAAGCCAACTCCTGCATCGAGGTGTTTCTGCAATAATTATGTGGACCTCTGCACGGCAACTCAGGAGGTTTCTCTGATGTAATGAGCTGTTGGTGTCACGGTGATGATGTTGCAGCCCTTCAGTTACTTCAAGGGGTGACCGAAGGGATCCAAAGAGCGGGAGATCACATTTGAACAGAGTAAATAGAGAGCTGGATAAGGATCATGGAGGCGTGCGGGACGGGTATGATACAGGTGTGGAACCAAAAATTGAAACATTTTTGCTCTTTCTCTTAAATAGCTCGCATTGTTAGCAGGTTGGGGGGAGGGGAGGGGGGGGGGGGGGGGGGGGGGTTGGTTGTGTTCCATAGATTTCCCAGCAGAAAGATATACACGAAGCGGGACGACATAGTCTCAGATCTCCGGGAATCGGCAGACTTGCTAAGCGCACGCAACATGCGTCTCGCGTATGAAAACTGGTGCTGGTCCACGAACGCCCCTAGTGGAAAGATGCTTGGGACATTGTCCGAGAAGTCAACAGGCCAAATGTTGGGCTTTGCCTTGATAAGTTTCAGATAGCAGGCAGCGAGTGGGCAGATCCGACCAATCAATCCATTCAGGGCGAATCAAATGAAGAGGGAAGGTACCAATGAACAAAAATTGTTGAACCAGAGGTTGAAGCTTAGTCAGACGAGTTAGAGAAGACAATCCCTTGAGAACAAGATTTATGTCTTTCAGATCTCAGACGCATACAAACCTCAGCCCTCGCCGTTTGACAAACGGGATATTGATTGTCTAAGGACCACGGGCATGATGGAATGAATCACGCGTTCCGCCTATTCCCTTACCATGGAGAACTACGAGTTTGAGGATGTAACTCAAGCAGTGTTGTAGACTGGGTTTAGGGGTTGGTTTTCGGTGGAGGTTTTGATGGAGGTTCACGTGGCCGAAGCAAAGGGTTGTGAAGATATGTGTGAGTACGCGAGAGAGGGAAAGAGGAGTTAGTGTAGATCAGTTGATTCAAAAGTGGACAAAGTCTCTGGGTCTCCTTAAAAATAATGACGTCAATTAAATAAAACATCAGATAGCACTCGTGATATATCGCAATTTAACAGTACAACATTTCAACAATGGTTACAATATTGCACGTTGGAAAATCTCCGTGATATTTTAGAGAAGTTGATTGCATCACGTGATGAAGACGTCTGCGATGGGCAAATTCGAGCTTCAAACCACTGGCTCTACATCTGCCTGTTAACCATACACCACCCACTTTCACAACCGGAACCCACCCTTCAAGACTTTGAATCTATACGAGAATCTAAATATCTTTTCTAAAACTTGTTTATTTGGTTTCCCTTTGGCTATGGTTGATGGCATGATGACTACTCCGCGGTAATACTGTTATATAGTGGTTGTGGGACACGTCATGGAGCTTCCCATACCAGCAGACGGGGCGGCGATCCTGGCGTCTCCTATTCCAACCCCACTTGCACAGCTTTCACCATCTCTTGATAACCTTAGGGAACGACATATCCGCGCAGTTGTCATATTACTGTGGCCATATTCCTCCTTTAGAAAGCAATTTAGCTTGATCCTCTCCGAGCCCGATTTCAGACTTCGAGACAAGAATGGTCAGGTTAAGATTAGCTTTCGAGATGCGAGCGCAGAGGCAGTTGCAAAATCGGAAATAGGTATTGGAGATACCGTGGTTTTGAGTCTTTATGGTGCGAAATGGCTAGAGGGCAAAGCGGAAATTGGTACTCCGGGGAAATGCATAGATTGGGATGTTGCGTTTTCTAACCGCCTGCTACTCGAGGTATTCATTTGACTAGATAACTTTTCAGGGGATAATGAACAATCCAACGTTGGCTAATATGCCTTATAGATATACCGCGATTCCAAGCTATTTAAAACAGTCGAGGTTGAAGTTCCGCGGGACGAGAACCTTCACGTTGACGGAGAGTTACCAAAAACTCAGAATCTCCCACCTTCAACGCTAAAACTATTAACCGATGGAGAGCCTGACAGACCATCAGCCACAGGGAATTGGTCTTCACCTGCATTTTCTCAATATCTAAAGGCATCCCTTGGCTCACTTTCCAATTCAGCATTCGACTCACTTGCAGAAGAAGATGGGTATATCTGGGGCAAGGGGAGGAAGCGGACGAAGTTTGGCAGGCCGAGCAGTGAATGGGTATTCGTGGACACTTCACCTAGCCCACCACCGGCTACTACAGATGCATTGGAGGATGAAGACTATGGTTTGGAAGAGGATCAGCAAGATGTTACAATGAAGGACTTTCCCTCCCAAACAGACACCATTCACCTTTCCCAAGCGGCCGCTTTTCTGGATGGTGAGGCTCAAGATGGCAAAACTATGCGGGATTCGAAGCCACCTAAATTAGCAGTGCAAACCGAAAGCGTGCACAACATTCCTCCGCCCAAAGACTCAAGGATTTCAGCCCCTTTCAATCCTATCTTTGATAACTCCCAATCGGACGGACTATCCTCAACATTCACCCACGCCTCAGACTGGGACGCTAGTCAATCCCAGCAACCAACTGTCACTCCCTACAGTTCCTTTGCAGACTCGTTTGAACGACCACTATTTAATCACGAAGCCGTTTCAACTCCATACCAACGCCCGATTTTATCACCTGACACTTCTATTGTCTCTCCTCTTGAAACGACACCAGCAGGTCCAAATATCAGTCTACCAGCCTCTCGAAGCCCGTTGCCCAATCACCTTTACTCAGAAAATATCACAGGTGCCGAGCTAGATGTGCAAGCTCCAATTGTTGAATCAACTGTCTACAAGTTTGTCAATGAAGAGGGGTATAACGGTGAGCGTTTGCTACATGAGTCCTGTGACCTGCACTATATGCCTGAACAGCGTACCAACAACGGTGAAAGACCGTTGTCTCCGACTAGCGCAGACCTTGACAAACATAGACCTCCTAATGTGTTCCGGGCTGAAGAAGAATATGAACAAGAGCAGTTGTATGGAGAAACCTCACGGACCCATCTTATGGCCCCCCCTACTACTGAGGAGAAGAGAGAGGTAGATGGAACGGAGGTGGAGCATGTGGAGCTGCATCCGCTTCTACAAACGTCACAAACTTTTCCCCAACACGTGTACGAGGCCAACCAGGAGATGACTGACATCGACGCTGACAGTCAAAAGGAGAACGACATAAATAGTGAAGGTGCACTGCATGAAGTGCCCGCGAGATCCTCTATGGAGGATATGGGAGGGGCTCAGGAGGAATTCTACGAGTGGACTGGAGGAATACAGAACGAAGATCTAGAAGAAGAATTGGAGGAGTTGGAAGAAGAACTGGAAGAACGGTTGGAGGAAGAGGAATATGAAAAGGAACTGGAAGAGGACATGGAACTGAACTCTGACGATGACATGGAACATATCGCCTCCGAAGTCTCGTCGCAATACGACTCCGAAAGCCCATCGGATGAAAGCTCGGAATTTGAATCTGAGGAAGACGCTCTTCCACCGAGAGCCGTTTATATTTCTGCACTCCGTCCCCCACCCGAAATAATCGTTTTGGATAGCGACGAGGAAGATGAGGCTGGTTCTTACAGTCCTACGGCTCCACCGTATGAGGAAATTCTTGGCTCTGATATTTCACAAGCACCAGGCACCAGTGAAACGACAGTTTTGCATCCTCAAACCGTTACCACTACTAGTTTTGAACCTCTAGTGAAATTGAATGGAACATCCCAGCTTGAAATGTCCGCTGATGGGCCAGAAACCGGTGTTCATGTTGAAGAGGAGTCAAACTTGCCGTTGCAAGCTGCCTCTTTTGCTGATGTTGAGCCTACGTCGAGACTCAATGAGCCTTTGCAACAAGTTATGATGGGCGAAATGGCGGAAGCTGCGCTTCATATGGAAAAGGAGTCGATGTCAGACGACAGAGCGGACGAAGACACCTCCCATCCAAAATCAGCAGACCTAGATGCCTACCGTGATGCAAGCCCATCTTCTTCGGCAGAGTTGGTGTCTGGCAGTGAAAGGGAGTCAAGACACGAATCACCTAATCAAGTCACCGTTGATCCTCAATTATACCGATCTGGAGGACGGAAAAGTTCGGAAATGGAGTCCGAGTCTCAAAATTATGTTGAGCCCGGGATTTCGCGCGACGGTGCAGTTGATGTAGATAGCTGGCATGAGCCAAAGATTATGGAGTCGACGGATTCGAAAGGTCGACTTCTCACGGCCGTGGAAACTCAGAAATATGCAGAAATCCAACCTTCGCCTCCACCATCGGAAGCCATCTTAACAGATGATGATCTTGTCGCATCCCAACTATTCCGCGATATGGAAGAGCAAGAGCGAAGACAGAATGGCCAGGCGCCCGACCGACTTCATATTTTCGGGGATTCCACTAAGGGTGGAACTTTTGAGATATCTTTGCTCACTCCCCTTCCTACCAACAACGGAGAGACACCCAATGAGGCTGTGGCAATTCAAACTGCTTCTGCCGAGTCACCTACTATTCTCCAGCCAAATACCAATGCCACCGGACTCCGCACCCGCCTTTCCTATTTCTCACCACTGTCCACCCTCGCTGATAACTTCAACAATATGACAGACACAATATCCGTAGTTATCTCCAGTTCAAAAATAGGCCAATCCACTAAGGGCCCCCGTGAATACTATACAACATTGCATCTCACCGATCCATCTATGGCCGGCATGACTGTATGCGCTCAAATCTTTCGAAGAACCAAATCTCCACTTCCCGCCGTAGCGAAAGGAGACGTAATCCTGCTCCGCGATTTCAAAGTTCAAACCATAGATCATAACATGATGCTCCTAAGCATGGCAGCTAGCTCGTGGGCTGTCTTTCCCGCAGGGAGTGATACTGACGTGGAAATGAATGGGTTGCCTGTTGAGTATGGCGCAGAGGAGATACAATTCGTCTCTATTCTTCGCGAGTGGTTTCGGGTGGAGGGTGAGGAGCTGGCAGTGAAGCATGAACACTTGACAACGGCACGTGGGAGCACTGACGCAGGTAGTTCTGTTTCCAGCGTGGGGAGCGGTAGCCCCAGAGGAGGTAGGGGCAGCATATTCAAGAAATTTGCTCGTCAGAAGAAACCCAGGCACTGTCGGGTTACCATCCATGAATTACGAGACGGTACGCGCTATCCAGAGGTTGGTTCGCCGGCTGATGAGGTTATTCATGAGTTGAGGGATGGGACTGTTTATTCTAATTTGTAATGATGATGGTGTTCTTCCCGTGTATTTATTTTTTCTTTGGTCACGCAATTTTCCCTTCTATCCTTATTACCCCGCAGAATGGACGGTGACAAGACCCCCCACCCATTTTTCTTGGACAACTTGACAGACTTTTCTCCTCTTTGTCGTATGCATTATAAGTGATTTGCATTATATTGGATCTGTAACTGGTGTATGCTGGAGAACTACCTGCTGGAATATAAAATGGGCCATTGTTTACTTCCAGAAATATCTTTTTAAAATTGTATTTTCTTTCATCTCCTTTCCTATCAGAGTCCCTCTGATTGATGCCCCCTCGGGCGTTTCAATCCCAACACTTTACAGTCACATGACCATGTACCTCACTCGCCTCTAACCCTAAAGCGGCTACTCCACTTTGCGCTCTTCAAAACCCTAAAAATTTCTTTTCTCTTCCTTTTTCTTTCCCCAACAGCAAGACCACCAACTCAAATCATCACCAGTTTGCAACTCCTATAACCCTCCCACAAGGTTCTTTTCCACTGCTCTGGCGATTCCGATGAGTGTGTCAAGATCGATATAACCGCCCACTTCTAAAACCATCATCACGAGGGCCCCGCAAGGAGCTGCCATGATGCGGTGATGACCTGATAGATGGGACAGTTTTTCGTAACTTGTTGGGCTTTGTTTCTTTCATTTCCATTTTTACGGGATTGGTCGATGGATCAACGGATTGATTCCTGGGCTGAAATGATGGAGTGTTGAACCAAATCTACCTCGTCCACAAGCCGGTCCATCACCATTGCGAGAGGTATAATTTCCTGATCGTGAGTCCTCTGAATGTATATTCATTTTCCCTCCTTCCATGAATCACCCGGGGAGCGGTTTCCGTCCAGATACAGGAATGAAGATACTTGACAGCTCTGGTAATCCGAGGTGCTCAACCGCGCGCAGCTACATTCGGGCCACATTCTGTGTTTTATCAGGCATTGTGATTCCGAGCCGCCGGTAGAGCTTGAGGCAACACGGCAAAGTCTGACTCGATTCGTTGGAGATGTAATAATGATTAAATCTCCGGTTGATGGAAGGAGGGGACGTGATTCTTTCGATTACGTCGAGGCTAATCTTTTGTTGCTCATGAACAGTGCTGCTTGTCCGTTTACATCGTTCCTATTAATGCTACATACGGTTATATGAAGAAAACTCCTCATCTGGAAATCCCAGATGCTTTTGGAGCATGGAAATTAAGCGCTTACAGATTGGACGTGGGATTGGCTCCTGGTAATTGATATAGAGCACTTCGTAGACCCTATTTGAAAGCTATCTTCAATATGTATAAATACGGTGTTGTATTGAAATAGTCATTCCTCACGTGCAATCACTTCCATCTTCGTATCGTTCCAAAGTGTTTTCAATATCCAGGTCCAAATTTGTATGCGAGGCGTGGCAACTAACAATTCCTGCATTCTAGATATCTGTGGGTCAGTAAAACTAACTACTCCTAAACAATAGCAACATGCTTCCAAGATGCATCGTTAACAAACGGCTCCTCCAATCTTACAATCGTATCACCCGGATATAGAGTCTCTCAAGATGCATGAACTGAAGACGCCACCCGAAAATAACATTCTAATAAAGGTTCAAAGATTAATGGGCATGCCATCCCCGAAAACTCGATCATCTGGGGCAGTTGTTGCGACGGGCGTCTTTAGCATGGCTCACGCTATTCGCATTATAACCTCCGTCGCGGAACATATTTTCGTTGTAGGAATTCATCCGCCTCTCCTATAGATAGGATCCTACGAACTGCGCCTTTAATAGGTATGTTTTCCCCATAAATTCTCCGGAGAGAAAGTGGGCATGGATATACTCCATTAGAACATCAGGCAAAGTTAATGATCCTATGAACGGGTGGACACAACGGCTTTCCTTTTTCAACACGGGCCTTTTTTCAAAAAAAAAAAAAATAAATAAATAAATAAATAAAATAAAATGATAGTTATGTATCAGAAAATCTTCTCAGATGAGATAGCGCTAGGACAGGTGGATTTCCCGCGCCTGAGAAAAGGCGGGCTACGAGGCCAGTTCTATGAGTGCAATTATGTCGGCTGGTAAGCAATGCACGTAACAAACGATTGGGTTCTGTATTCCGCTAAACTATCTCGCAGTCCTCAAAGTCTCCGGCAATTTCTCAGATTAAGTCCACCAAGAAGTCGTCTACGTACACTTTCCAGCAGATACCAGCAAATAGACCTTATCCACCGTATTGCAAAACAATATCTTCAACACCTAAAGCTCTCCGCCGACGAAGTCTGGTCTAACTTCTCCATATCGAGTCTCATCGGCGTTGAGGGTATGCATCAGATGGGTAACACGCCAGTATCCTACGCATGCATTACGATCTAGGGGTGCGCTACGTAACCCTTACGCACAGCTGTCATAATAGATATGCCGACAGCGCAACCTCCAAAGTATCCAGTTAATAACGACCCTTCGCCCGTGGATCAGGCCATTGTCCGTGTGAAAATGAACCGACTAGGCATGATAGTTGACCTGGCTCATGTGAGCAATGACCCCATGCGAGATGCGCTGCGGATTTCTTCCGCGCCAGTGATATTATCTCACTCGTCGGTATATGCACTGTGTGTGCATCCGCGGAATGGGCCGGATGATTCTCCTGCAGCTGAAGCGGAACGGAGGGACGATCACGATTACTTCGTTCCCCGAGTATACACAAAGTGATGGTCAGGGTAATGCGTCGTTGTCGGATATGACAGATCATGTTCAACATGTGGGGAATTTGATTGGTATGGACATAGGGCTTGGTGCGGTCTTTGATGGAATGCCTAATTCTGAAGAAGGTTTGGAGGATATTTCAAAGTAGCCAGGTCGCATCGCTGAACTGCTACGACGTGGGGTGTCTGAGAAGGAATTGGTAGGACTGGTTGGCGCGAATCTACCGACAGTGCTGAAGGAGGTAGCGGAGAGGTTGAAGCGGAGCAGCTGAGAGATGTTTGTCCTCTGCAAGGTCGGTTTACGGAGATGTTTTAGCAAGATTCCCACTGAAGTTTTCACGTTCTCCGCGCTGGGTTGCGGAGAATGGGGTATTCTTTCTGATACGAGACCCCCTACCCCCTTTTTAACCGTGGACACCAAGTGAAAGGTATGACTGGGTCTCTTCTCATCCTCCTACTTCATCATCTCGCTTCCTTGTTCGATTTTGTTTTCTCATCTCTTTCATTTCCGGTTGCGAGCCATCTAAGTCTCTGTGGTCCCTCTATATCAACTGGTCTTTAAGTAAAATATTTCGATTTGGGATTGACTGGTACAAGTTGATCGTGGATCATCTTGTTCTATGTCACAATCTTTTCATCCAGAGTCTCGAGCTGGCAGGTATATTTTCCCATTCATAGGACTTCTTTCTGGCTATTCTATTATTGTTCCATTCATCTGCCACCGTCCCTGACTCTGTTGAGGATCCTTCACATGTGGAGAGCCCCGCAGTCTAACACAAAGCAAAACGCAATATATGAACACGACAGCTTCAAACTACAAATCTAGAGCTTAACCTCTCCGGCCTTCAATATCTCCCACTGGTCTGTCTCGAAGGGGAGATACCTTTCCTCACCAGCTGGGAGCCAGTAAAAACTGCCGCCCGTGCCGTTCTCCTTTATCTTGTCCAGGTTAACTCCCTCTGATCTCAACTTTACCTTCTGTAGCTTCATCGTCCCCGTCGTCTCAAGGCTAGACACAACACGCAGGAAAATCGGCACAGCATATCGAGGCAACACTCCAGTCACATACTTGGCTAGTCTACCAATGTCGAACGAACCCAGCGTCACGCCCTCCGCCAACACGATGGCCGCACATCCAGCTCTTCCGTCTGCATGGGGAACCTCAACACCATAGACGTTCGCTTCGGCAATCTGATCGAATTTCCCCAGGACATCGCTGACTTCGTTTGTGCTCACGTTTTCGCTCTTCCACCGGAACGTGTCGCCTAGACGGTCGACGAAGTAGAGACAACCGTTCGGGTCTAAGCGCATCATATCCCCTGACCTAAACCACATGTCTCCCTTTCGAAACACATCTCGTATTCTGCGCTTCTCGGTCGCTGCATCGTCTTTGAAGTATCCCGCAAACACTGCATTGGGTGCTGCGGGGTCCAATCTGAAGAGGGTCTCACCCTCCTCGCCGGCTTTGCATATAATTGGGACCCCTTTCTTATCTAGCTGGATTTCCCCCGTTACAATGTCTATTTTCACCCGCTTTTCGTTATCTCCATTCATCCAATGCCAGAGCAAGCCCCGCACTCCAATCGCACCGCGCCCTAAATCTCCTCTGTTGGCATTGAAGGTTGACGATATGCCGTCGCTGGCTGCATATAGTTCGTTGATCGTTTTGATGCCAAAGCGCTGACGGAAAACTTCCCAAACATCCGGGCGCATGCCATTCCCCCAGGCCATTGTTGCATTATGCTTCTTGTCCAGCGGAGATGGAGGTGCGTTTATCAGATACCGGCACAGCTCTCCAACATACTGTACAATATCGGCCTTCGACTCGCAAACTTCGGGCCAGAAAGTCTTGTGGCTAAACTTGCGGCCGAGAACCACGGTTGATCCAGCATACAGTGATGGGTTGAGACAAAGTCCGTGTGCTGTGCCGTGATAGAGCGGCAGACACGAATACATTTTCGTTCCTGGCTTGAGATCTAGGTATTTGCTAACTGATCGAGCAGTGATTAGTTCCTTCTTTCGAACAAATTTTGTGGCCTTGGGTAAACCGGTCGTTCCTAAGCATCAAGGAACAGTTAGCAATCGTACAAAAAGAATCTCTATGCAGGCCATCCGTGTCAGATTCATACCGGATGTATATATCAACAACGCTAGATCATCCATTTGAATCCCTGCTCGCCTTTCCTGTGGGGTAGGTGTTGTATCCTTGAGTGAGGAAATAAATTCCGGGTCATAATATATCGTCTGCACATTTGCCTGTCTAAGCTCCTCCTCGCAAGGTTTTACCAAATCCTCTGTCCCTCGATCCGCCAGCAAGAACCTCGCCTCACACAACTTTACGCAATGCACCAGTGGTGCTGCCGTAAGGTTACAATTGATGAACGACGGACACGCAGCTATAGACTCCAGTCCATACCACAACATGAGATATTCAGGCGAGTTCCCGCCGTCCAATCCAACCAACTCGCCCCGTTTTATGCCCAAATCGTTCATTAGCCAGTTCCCGACCCGATGTACGTCCTCAAGAAACTGTTTGAAGGTCCATGAGCGGCCCTCAAATATAAGAAACACATTATCACTATTCGCTCCATGCGCATGGTCCTCCAGGAGATGGTACATGAGTGTTTTGTCCTGCTGCCACCTCTCAGTGGCAGCTTGGATGGCATCTTGTGCTGTGACAGCAGCCGATCCGCGGGCCAGGTCATGGCGGATTAGATGTTTAGCGTCCAGGTAAGCAGCTGCCGCTAGCGTACCGGCCACTGATGCAGCGAGTGTGACTATGTTGAAAATATGATATTAGCACAGAGTGGGAATGGAATATGGGGAGGGCCGCTTTCGCAGTTAGCTTACGTGACATGATGAGAAATCTAGATGTGGTTTCGGCACTGGCGCTGAAGACGGAGAAACAGAAAATTTCAAAGAAGTAATACTCAGAAAACCAAATTGGAAGGAAAGATATAAATACCCATTACTCAGCTGGATCCAAACGTGTTCTTCTACTTTCTCAGGAAGCTTGTTGGATGGCTATAAAGCCGCTCGGCTTTACCAAACCAACATAGATATGTTGCATTCCCGCTTCAACAATTCACCGGCTACCTTCCTCGCTCTATATGGAGTTCGCTTTGCCGCACCTCGGTCTGGCAATTGATACTACAATCACCATTTGTTAAATGGTGCAGCGCTTCCCCAATGAAAGCTGCTAAGCTTCGCTCGCGCACGTAACTATCTACATAGCCATTTAACCGAGGCAAAACCCTCCCCAACGATCAGCCTTGTCAAGCGCTATAGAAAGAAACCCCAGTGGGAGAAACGCAAAAACAGAGTATAACCGATATCCAATATTTCCCGGATTCTCATCCCCCGCATTGTTTCCCCTGTTCATCCTGGAATTGAGCGTGCGGAGCAATTAATACTAGTGTCTGGGTAACTGGTTCACGTTCAGTGGGGTAAAACCCAAGAAAGTGAGAATGAGAAGATTAAACACCTGACTTTACAATACAGTAACTAATGAAATAACTGACAAGCAGGAGACATGCGGGGACGCGCTTCGAGCTCTTTATATAGCTAACTACATGATTAAGCAGGTTGATATATCCCATTTCTTCTTATTTCAACTCTACAGAAACCCCGCCACTGCTTAAACTTGATTGCCCGATCCATCTAATATCTTACATCTCGTCAATTAGTTAGATCTTCGAAAGTTTGACCTTAATAGTGATAAATCTCTGGGGGTTGAATTTCTGGAACTCTAGACTCAACTACTCACATCGCATGAAGCGACCAAGAACTAGATGATTTATCCGGTACAGTAAGGGTATTGATCATTTTTCAAACATCTTCCCCTGTTTGTCCAAAGATATTTGCTCTTTAAAAATGCAAGATACTAACTAAGATAGGCACGAGAATTTATGCCATGGAGAACTTGTATTTTGATGATACATGTATATTGTTCCTCTAATACATGAATCCAAGCTACCAAAGGTGCCTGCTGCTAATCAATTTAGTTTGTCCCCACAAATACTCCTTATCCGGATTTTCGACGCCAGATATGTTTGTTTGCGAAACTTGAGGGTGGGAGGAAAAAGACCTCCTCCACCTAGTTTCTAGACCAAAACACCACCCAGTGGACTTTCATTCAATGAAATCCATACAAGCAAAATGCAGAGGGACGATCGTACCGCATGTGTAAACTGGATCGTGGCGAGAAAAGAGAATGATCTCCACGTAGGATCATGCTGGTCACTTTAATCACCTCACTACTCTATATGAAGTGCCACTTTGATTCTGCGGAGACTTTCTTGAAGCCGTTCCTCCTCGAGAGCAAAGGATATTCGTACCCATCCTTTTTCCATTTGTGTGCCGTGATAACCTCCACCACCTCGAACCAACACCCCTGCGTTTTTCAGCCGAGTAATCATTTCTGATTCATCCTCCCACGTTTTTGCTCTTGGAGCCAGTCTTGTAAGTATGTTTAATCCTGCATTTACCGGGATGTATTCAATGTGATGGCGGATGAAAAATGAGGTGATGAGGATATATGATTCTGCCAACCGAGCTGAGTTCAATGCGACCAAAAAGGGTAGTTTGGGTGAGGAAAGGAGTTTCGCTGTAAATATTGCGGATAACGATGAGACCTGAGCATTGGATGCAACTGCCAGTCCAGCGGTGAGATCTCTGTTATCTTGTGTTACTATACAGCCCTATTCTAGCATTAGCAACTATATTCAGAGACGTTGCTGGTGACTGGTCACATACCACTCGAAACCCACTCGCGCCAAAATCTTTGCTGATACTCCATATAACGTGGATGCGAGACCGGTCGCACTCTAATAATTCGGTATCCAAAGCCAAGGCTGAGATGAATGGCTCGGGCTCAATATCATCCGCAACGGAATATGAGGTCATCCCGTACCCTTCATCAGATATGAAGTGTAATCCCCGCTGCTGGCAAAATATTAAACAGGCTTCCAAGACCTCCAGTGGGTAGCATAGCCCGTAAAATTTATGTGGATTTGTTATAATGAGTGCTTTTATTGTGCATGTGGCCTTATCCATCGCATCCTCTAATGCGGGTATCAGTTTCATTGTGAAATTATTTGTGAATTTCCCCGCGTTGACAAGAATCGGCCGAACAGATGAACGAGCTCGGAATTTCACCTCATCCCCGTCTATCCAAGTTCTGCAATGTTAGCCCCCCGACCATTATAATATATTCAACGATCTGATATTAAGCTTGGGGCTTGATGGGGGAAACTCACGCCAGAATGGTCCTGGCACTAACACACCGTCTTCAGGGTCGCAAATGTTATATAGCAACGCATCAAGGCAGCTTGTTGCCCCTGGCGCTGTGACTATATGATGAGGTCTGACAGGTTCGTGTGGATTAAAATAGTTGTTAAGTAACAGCGCCAGGCTTCCCAGAAGAGCGGGATCTCCGGCAAAGCCTTGTAAGCGGGAAAAGTGCTGATATTTTGGTAATTAGCAAGCCTTCTCCTCACCTCAGTCAGTTATTACAGAACGCTTACCTGGGAGTGCAATCCATCATGAACTGCTGCTTTACAGATAGTGGTTAGCTCCTCTCGCAAAAGGTAATTTTCATCCGTGGAGAGGTCGATGTCGGAAGTGTCAGAACCGCTGCCGTCGATTATCTTTCTTCTCATTGAAGGTGTGATCGACGCGACATTAGATGAACCTCGGGCGGACAACTGCGAATGATTCATTTTGGTGACCGTTTTAGCGTGCGTACACAGAACAAAATTCTGGAATTTTTCGATGAAGTTGAATTATTTTCTTTCCTATCCTCCAGGGTAATGTTGACTGTTTATATATTGAATTTTTGTTCCAAGCGCATCAGCCCGAATCACTTGAGAGGCCCAACTCACGCTCCTAATCTTCTCCCGCTGCTTGCATTATAAAAACTTTGTTTATGTCTAATTCCGGAATTTCGACTTTTCGAACTTCTAGTTCAGAATTAGCACCCAAAGTCTAGCCCGGATGATCTATTTCACGTTTAGCCTGTAAAGAGGTTGTAGACTGTCTGGCAGTTTAATTCTGAATCATTAACGTCGGGCCCCTTTGCGTTTATCAATATCGGTTTACCTATTTCATACAAGGTACAGTAAATAAATACATGGATGTAATGTATATACATCGATCACGTTTTTGTTCGTTAACAGCTTTAGAACTGCAGAATGATTTGACCGTCATATCTTCCTCCGAAGGGGGTTATCAAACCCTCTTCCTGGAAATTCGCGTCTGCGTTCAGAAGGCCAACCGGTTTACAAAGATTTTTGAAACCGATTTCAATTTGCCCTAGTTTGGGTCCCGAAGGGTAGGAAAAGGCTGAAATTAATCTCATCATCCGTGCCTTGTTCATGCAACTAGGACTTCGCCCCAGATATCCCTCCCGTTGCTAGAAATTGCATGGTACCAAAAAACCTGCGGGTTCTCCGGCTTAGGAGCGCCGTTTGTTTAGTACGACTTGCCTATCCTGTCTAGACTCCAAATAATGAATCACCAGGCCCAACTGTTTAAGTCATGATATGTCCCATAGGGTGTTCCATTTTCTATCGATCGTATTGTCCAGCAAAAGCAGGGTGGGGGGTTGGGGTGGGTTATTTTGTACGCCAATTTAGTGCTGCAGCATAATTTGACAGCTTCGGAAACATTCTGACTTCATCCAACGAGCTTTTGAAATTGTTTACGGTCACTGTTGTTATTGGTATTGCAGTATCAGTTCAAGGAATATCTACGGGGTACGTAAACCCTCCAAGACAGTAAAGTAGGCTGCTATCGGGACGCCCTGATCTACGGAGCACATCACAAACGGGCCAATCGCGTTGAACATCTAGTGACTTATTTTATAACTAACCTTTATTTCTCATCGTACCGGGTTGTTGAGCCGAATTCAGCACTCGGGAATTCCTTCACGTCTGATTCCGCTACCCATTTTGGGCATTTCTTTCTCTTGAACCCAACAACCAGGCAAAACTAACGTGGCAAGCCAATCTTGCTTCCTTACGACATGCTTTCTCCTAACCGAGATAGCGTCGATTTCTAGAAATGCAAGAGTGCAACGCCGGTCTCTTTTTGGAACCCTCGAGCCGGTGGTGCTATTTGAATTAGTTTGTTCACCGAACAACAGCCATTTGGTCCAATCCCGAGTTTTTCGACGCTTAGGGCCGAGCCTTAGTTAACTTAATCCCCCGTCAGAATGCAGGGAGAAACCCCTTCTCCGAGGATATTTGTGAGGAGATGAAGAAATAACTTACATGTGGGAAGCTCAGTCCGTCGGGTGAGCCTGGCGAGCTGCGAACCTGTCATCTCACCTTTCTTGGAAGTTCATGGCTTCCTTCCAACTGCACGAGATATCAATCGCAGCACAGCGGGATGCGACATTTGTCATGGCATTGCAATTGCTTCTCCAAGCTATTGGTTGGTCCATCCATCCATATGAATCCGCATGACAAAGATTTTGTTTGGTGCCAGCGAATAATTCACCCTCTCGTTTAAGGAGTGGAATTTGGCAAACAGGAAATCAAATAATGAAATTCAGCTGCACTGTCCCCGGATGTAGTCATGGTCGCATGAGATAAAACGTTTGGCATCAAAGAAGTTCCAAGGTTAACTCTGATGGTTAGTTTAACTAACCAACAGGTTGGATCCTTGTAGTCAAGGCCCAAATTATGCAGACGACTTTCCCTTTTGAGAGAATGCATAATGATTCTGCGACCAACATAACTCATCAGCACCAAGCCATCTTGTTCCAAAATGGCAAATGAACTCTGCAACTTCGGCGACATGGAGGGATAGCTATTAGGGTGTAAAAATAAACTCAATACTCCGTATTATTAAACATTTTGCGACAATCATGCTCCAGATTCTGATTCTTGATTTCATCTCCTCCCTCCTCCCTCCTCCTCCTCCTCCTCCTCCTCCTCTTCTTCTCTTTTTTCTGCTTCAAACAGCCCAATCACGTTAGGTGAACCGACTTGAACGGCAGCAACGAAAATGGCGGTCAGGCTTCGACAATTTGTTTGCTGATGTATGAAACCTGCAATTCCTTCTCATTTCTCTTGTTTCTGACGTTAGCTCGATGGTAGCACTCGATGCGGACTCTGCATCCTGTGCCAAGTATATTTGCCCTACGGAGCACAGTTAGTTATGCCTTTTAACTTTTCAGGGAATAATCATCCAGCCTTGGGGTTGGCATATTGAATATCTTGACACAATGAGGGGTAATACACAGCATTCTGCAGTTGATTTGCACGCTTTATTGTTCTGTTGTGCGAAATCAAATCAGGGACTTGATGGCAATGATGGCATATATGTCTTGCTTAAAAGCTGCCATAGGGTATGCTTGGTTTTATTTTTATCTTAAACTTCCAAATCGCAGTTGTGGCATCTTCAAGAAACCACCTACCCAGGTTAATAAGGATTCGAATAACTGCCATGCATGCATTACACACAGTTTTCGTCTACCATCATCGGTCGTTACGATTTGTCGATGGGATTGGGTTCTTTTCAGCGAATTGATTTCCTGTCAATCTGCCACGCCTCTGGAAGCCGAATTTGGTTTGCGTTAGTCAGTCTACATGATTCATATCCGGAAGCCTGCTCCCACTTCCGATGCGTCCACGGAATCGATTGACAATGGACTAAGCCATTCTCTGAGAAGCCGGAGAGTATTATGTTTTGTCAAGTCCCTTGTTACTAAGGACGTTCCCCAACCCTTCACACTTTATGTTGTTGAGTCAAATGGAGAGCATCAAATGATATAATTTTTCTCCCATCAAACGAAAAACACCCGAAGAAGTTTACCCCAAGTTTCTACGGAGTTCAAACGAAAATAAGGCGGGCAATCTCTTATGGGACTGGATAGCACAAGTGGGGTCCGAAAGCAGAAGTTATTCGTGTCTTAAGACACTGTCTCCATCGAATGTTCAACCATACCTTGGTTGATAGGTCTCAAGATTTTACACCTAAGTTGTGAGAAGAAGCCAGAGTATGCAAAGATTATTCATGAGGACTCTTTCTAACTCTTTTGAGGATACGGCGCTGAACTCCTTGGAATCTCCAAGGGCACTTGTAGTTATCCAACATCCAACTGAATAGCATACTCTTACCATCTAACAGGTCATAGGTGCTCACAGGCACGCTCGTGCAAAATTTAAAGTCTACGTTTACATCTCCCCAAGCATCAGTTTCCATTTGGTGATGTGGCCCTCTTGGTAATCGTTCCTCGAGCGTCGGACTAGACGAATTGCTAAGACAATTCACATCAGCAGAGATGCACACCGGGATTCCAATATTGGCAACTTTTATAGCTGTTCGGCGGGATTATAACAGTGTATGCTTCATCCGATATCAAGTATGATTGACATCGGTTGAGCTGCATCATTCGACTATTAGCTGACAGGTAATGGCCGGGCGGTCCCTATACGAACCAATTCCCGGACCTTTTTGGACTCCTTCCAACTCATTTTTGGAAATGTATTTTGTATTGAAAGCTTTCCGAGGCTGCACCAAGGCTTATATCCGCAGATAGTGGCACAGACGCCTAATAATATAACAAGACGAGTAGAATGTGACATACTGAACACAAAAGTCACCGTCACATCTACTCACCGCCCTTCACTGTCCGTCAACGGTTGAAGTCTCTTCTCAAAATAATGAAGCAGAGAAGTAACCTCTACATTAGCAGAGCCTTTGCGGAGTATATTTGGTGGATGTTCTTAACTTGCTTTCTTTATATTTCATGGGATACGGAATAGGCCAATGCTTCCAGTGCATAGTATTGCATATAGAGCATATCATGGGGGGGAAATTTTAGTTTGCAGAGATCTTGCAAGACTTGTCTTGCTAGACGAAAGGGATTAATACTTCAGAAGTATTGGATTCTTAGTGCTTCATACACTCCAGTCCTCCTTCACAGGGCTAAGCTACTATTCAACCTGCTTATGAACGTTGAGGTGCATGCTACTAACATATATATAGTGACTTGATAGGTATAGAAATGTCATGCACAATGTTCCTGACAGTTACTTAAAAGATTTGTGTTAAGTAATCTTCGAAGCCACCGGGCAAATATATGTCCCAAAAGGGCCTAGCGTGTCATTGTGCGGCTCCATAGCCGCGCGTTAAAGCAGTCTTGTGTGGCGGCTGAGCTTCATTGATGGATGTTCAATCGATCAAAATCCGCCAATTCAATTCTACGATATCTGCTCATGCACATCCTGCCCTGCTATTCTATATCTTAGTCTAATTCTAATATTCTACTCTGGACCCGGAACTACTACACTCCCTCGTTTTCTCTATTACATGCACCTTTATCTCCTCACAAAAGACGCTGGTCGCAATGGACAACGCCAACCTGTGGACTCGCCGGTCGAAGTAAGTACCTAGGTAGCTTGTTCAAGATCCTGAAGTAGTGTTTTGGACCACATAAGTCCTGGGTACTAACACCGGGTAGCACTAGCAAGCTGTCCCTTTCCACCTCCGGTTCGGACAACAAAGACAACAGTGGAAGACAGGATTCCTCTCGTAGCCATCCATCCAAGCGATTCGGGCCTGACAGTTCCCACAGCGGCCGCTCCAACCCTTTTAACGCGATATCTCCCCTCACCACAAATGCACCCTCACCTTCCATAGCCGCTTCTTCTGCCTTTGGCTTGGGATCAGGTGCCTTTGCCTCCTTTGGTTCGGCGAAAACTCCCAAAACCCCAGGCGCATTTGAGCTGAATAACTCAAAATCCTCCAGCGAGAAACGAGAGACGCAAACAGAAAACGAAGGGTCGAATAATAAAACTGTGAAATCGAAGGAGTCATCATCGTCCCTTAATAATAATTCCTCTGCCCCTCCTGCTCTAAAGGAGCATCCAATAAGGTCCACTTGGATTGTCTGGTATCGGCCCCCAACCCCCAAATACTCGGACTATGAAAAGTCTACCATAGCTCTTGCATCGATATCTTCTGTAGAGAGTTTCTGGGCAGTTTATTCACACCTGAAGAGACCATCTCTTCTACCAGCCGTGTCGGACTACCATATCTTTAAGAAAGGAATACGCCCGGTCTGGGAAGATGAATCAAACAGACGGGGAGGGAAATGGATTATTAGATTAAAGAAAGGGGTTGCTGATCGCTACTGGGAAGATCTGCTTCTCGCCATGGTAGGCGATCAATTTGCAGAAGCCAGTGAGGAAGTGTGTGGGGCAGTCCTGAGTGTCAGAAGCGGGGAGGATGTTTTGTCCGTCTGGACTAGGATTGATGGCGGACGAAACATTAAGATTAGGTAAAGTTGTTGGTGAATATCGGCCTGCGCGAACTGTGCTTGCTGCTAACCTTTCTTCCAGGGAAACAATCAAGCGGCTACTCGCTTTTCCTCCGGACACCAACATCGTATGGAAAAGCCATGATGACAGCATTGCCCAGCGCTCGGCCATCGATCAAGCCCGTCAGGACAAAGCTGCGGGGAATTCAGGTCATCACCAAGGCTCGGATCGTCGCCGTGCCCACAACCAAGATGACACCTCCGTGGATAAGGGGCGGAGCGCGGCATCGTGAAAGAAAGCTCCATATGTGAATATGGACAGTGTACAGTAGCTTTTTGCCTTTTATTTATTATTTCCCCCCTCCCCCAACTTATTCTTTTGACGTTCTGTTTGTTCTGCCTCTAGGGTTCGGTGGGTGTGCCCTTATTTTCTTTCTTCTCAAACTTTCTCTTTTCCCCATTTTTCCCCCATGATGCACTATGTCTTTTTTCTACTGGAGATGTCCATTCTGGAAAATTCAGTGCCGGAGTGAGCTTTGTTTTTCCTGATGAACCGGCGGATTTTAGCTAGCCCTTTTTACTTATGTGTCTCAAGTTTTATCCATCGATTACAAAATCTGAATGGAGTAGGATGGCAGATATGAATGCCTCATTTTATCTTGATGAGCATAATTGGCTGTTTAAATGTAGCTATGCTTATGGAACGATCTTGTTCAATATTATTAGGATACTGATAGTCTGAATAAAAGGAAATGGCGCTGGATCTCTGCATAAAACTTCTTCTCCTCAAAAATTGCCACTAAAAATACTCTTTGTTGGATGGATGCATCTCATCTTGTTGATTGAATATATCTTTGCGCATTGTACCCGGTAGAACACGGGAAAACAAAAAGGTTGGTTTTAGTTGCGGCTATCTACTCACCCAGATCAACCACGCTTCAACCCCAACTCGCACCCATAGTTACATGTATTCAACCCAATGCTTCCCCAACGGGCAACATTTCAGAATCAAATGGTCTACCTTACGAGCTTATGAAGTGGCTATCTAAGCTAATCCACGTTGGTCGGCCTAATCACACCCTCCCAAACCCAGCAGAAGCAGGTCCAAACCCGGATTTTTCGCGACGACGGCGGCGAGACCGAGCTTATGATTTCGAAGATATCATAGTCCCGGCCCATATGTCCGGTGTGAGCGATGAGCTTTCTCCTGCAAGAGGGCAAATGAGCAATACATTTCAGTTCGCACAACTGGGAAAGGTATGGAAACGATGTCTCCCTACCTGGGATCATGCACCCTGGATTGTTAATGGCTGCTTATTTCTGGCCACCCGAGTAATTACTGATGCTGATTTTCTTCTTCTTCTTCTTCTTCTTCTTCCTTTTTTTGTGGAATATGCAGAGTTCTACCGGAATACCCCGTGCAACCAGTTCGCAACGAGAAAATTCTCAACTTACACCTAGGTAGGTCTTCACCAAGGGCGGCGGTGTAGGTTTCCTATCGGACTCCGCAAATCTCGGTCTAGGATAGCCGGTGCTAACCATCATACCACTACAGGAAAATAACATCACAGAGCGAAGAAGAGTTACAAGAGGAAAGGAGGCTATTTGGAGGCTCCAGGTCTGTGATATACCATCCTTATAGATCCTGGAATTGACAAACTGATGTGAAGGGGATTTGACAGGAAGGATCCAAACGCCGTTCGTATAATACCAGGAACCTTGCCACGAAAAGGAGGATCTGCCTCAAATTTAAAGGTGGGATCTGATTTCCTTTACAATAATGTGTTTAACTAGTTATTAATGGATCTGTTTGACACTTCAAAGGCCCTGGAAAATTTCAGCCCACGGAACACCCTCTCTTCAAACTCCGCTAGAACACCAGTCCAAACTTTTGGCGAGAGACACCCCGAGAGGCTTATCCGTCCGCTCTCGTACATACAAGATGTTGTGGCAGTCACTCAGGACGAGGAGAAAGGAAACCATCCGCGCAAGAGACAGAAGACTGACGATTCACCAGCTTCCGCGGACGTTATCGAGGTGAATGATGATGAATCCGTAATTCGCGTGGAACCTCCCTCCTCCGCCAGATCTAGGAACTTCGGCCAGCGATATTCGAGCAAAACTCGCTCTATAAGTCAACAGGACTGTACTACTCCTGAGTTCTGGAACGTTGAAGGTAGGGTACAGGATTTCAAAGACAAAACTTTACGTGCTCCCGATTTGACTGAGGATGAACGATTCACGATGGAAGCCAAAGCGCAACGATTCGGAAAAAAAACCAGCCCACACTTCGCACGTACCGTGGGTTCACATTTGTTATCCCCTACCGAACAAATGTTGACTGTTGAGCTTTCTCCGCTGGATAAATTGGATGGTGCAGGGCCCATGCAGGCGGAGACGATGGAATCTGCGGAAATTCTCGAAAATTCATTCGTACAAACCGATGGCCAACTACAATTTTCTGACATACTTGACAGCCCAGATGAAATCCAAGGAGAGAAAACCATTCGCGAAACTTGGAGAAGCAACTTTGAGGGTCATCAAAATAGAATGCCTGGTGATATTAACCCGACCAACTTTTCCAGAGCGAAAAGGGATCGCAAACATGCGGTTCACAGGATTAGACTATCCAACCATACTCGGTCGTTTTCCGTTAGGTCATTTGACGACAGAATGCAGACTGTGGAGGGGAAATGCACGCTTATTGTTAACACGAGGGCTAGTACTTTTACTATCAGGAATGATGATGATGATTCATCGCAGTCAAGAGAATTCAATATTCTCAAAATCAACCAGGTTTTGTATGGTGGCCCAAGGGCTGCGGTGAAGTTTCCCCTTTCCTCGGGAGCAAGAGACGACATAAATATACGATTTTCAACCGAGAAGGAATGTTGGGACTACTGTATCTTGATGGGGGAATTGAACAGTAGTTCTAAATTGACTGAAAAAACGAAGTATGTTCCCTCAGCATCCTGAAACGTTTGAGTTCGAGTCTGATAGTGGATATAGTCCTTGGATGACAAACGCGTTTAATCGTGATGCTCATCTCGGTCGAAGGAACCGTCAACGTAGCCGCTCAAGACGCAAAAGCCCCCAGGATGGGCAAACTGACACCCCCACTCAACCTTCAAAGCCAACCAGACGCCAGAAGATTAGTGAGACCCTGCTTGGTGGCGACGGGACGATTGGAAATTATTCCCGGGACACCACACCTCATTTCCGCGGGCCCTGTAAGAACGGACATGTATTTTCACCTTCTCGGAATCATAGTCAACCCGACATAGATGATCCCGCAGCTATTCCTATCAAAACATACAAACCTTCTGTGTGCTTGCGTGTCACCCGCTCGCGAGCTCACCAGCAGCCCTCTTTCACTGACAGGTATGCCGTTTCCTCCGTTCATTTCGAACTTAACCGCTGACTAAATACTGGGATCAGTGACCACGAACCATCACCCTCTCCCCTCCGGAATACTCGTAAATGGACAAAGTAAGTACATGGCATTGTAAACTTCGCAACAATGGAGTTAACACTGTGTCCAGGCCGCTTGTTTACCCGCCTCAAGGTAAAAAGAAAGCTGAAGTGGAGTTCCACGATTTGGAACGCTTAGGCGATGGCGAATTCTTAAACGACAATCTCATCGGGATTTATCTGCGTTTTCTTGAGCATCACATGGAACGGAATAGACCCGATCTTGCTAAGCGTATTTACTTTTTCAACACCTACTTTTTCGCAAGCCTGACAAACACTCCCAGAGGTCGGAGGGGTATTAACTACCAGGCGGTGGAGAAATGGACGAGGAGCGTGGACATATTCAATTATGATTATATTATCGTTCCCATCAACGAAAGCGCCCATTGGTTTTTGGCCATTATATGCAATCTGCCTAGCCTCTGTCGCACGGAATGCAAAAATGAGAACATAATCGACGGGCCAGCCCAAATACAGGAGAGTGGTGGTTTGAGAAATCGAGAAAGGGGAGGAAAAGTCAAAGTTGAACCGCAAACCGGAGCCGATACTACCATTGGCGTGCAGACAGCACAAAATGGTAAGGACCAAATCCTCCGCAAACGTTTTTTTTCAATGTCCTTATCAGATAAAGTTCCCAAGACAGAAGTCCGACAGAACGAGACAAGTCGCTTGAAGGAACGTGAATCTCCGGACATTAATGACTGGCCGGACGAGGAAGAGAACGGACCGTCCCTCCCCATGGTTCAGCCCGAGGATGAAGAAAATATTTTACAACAATACGATCGGCCCAAACAACTACAATCTGGTAAATCAAGGGATTTAGGGCCCCCAAGAAAGAAATCGGCCCGAAAGTCCCAATTTGACTCTAAACAGCCCATCATCATCACTTTTGATTCATTGGGATGTCAGCGATCCCCTACAGCTCGGATCCTCAGGCAATACCTTGAGGAGGAAGGGAAAGCGAAAAAATCACTTACCATTGACCCGAAAAAAATTCTGAGCATGACTGCTCAACAAATACCGCATCAGCCTAATTTTTCTGATTGTGGACTGTATCTCTTGGCATATCTTGAAAAGTTCATGCACGATCCAGATGAATTAATTAGGAAATTGGTGAATAGGGAGATGAGTGAACAGAATGACTGGCCGCTAATGAAATCTCGAGTTCTTCGCCGGCGACTTCGGAACTTTCTCCTAGCCTTGTACGACGAGGCGGAGGGAGTGGCTCAGGAAGGAAGTAAGTTGGTGAATGTGAAACCTCTGAAAATCCTCCTGGGAGACTCTGTACACTCTCCAAAGGCATCGCCAGCTAAGTCTTCTGAATGGAGGGGGAAGCAACATGGATACGAGGAGTGCCCAAGCCCCGAAGCCACGCCCAACACTGAAGAGAAAAAGAAAACAGCACATAGTGCTGAGAAAGAACCACAGCAGGCTACACCAACACGATTCTCTCTTTTGCCTCGTCAAAATGACCAGCAAAGAACAACAAAGACCACGAGAGCTATTGGAGATGATGCTGCTCAGCAGTACACAGCCCAGGCGATGCCTTTAGGAATTTCGGCATATGGATGCCAAAATGCTGCAATTGAAGATCCGCCCGTCGAAGTTCCCAGAACTCCTTCACCAGATATTGTTGGGATGAGAGTGTCACGTCTTTCTACTCGCAAATCGAGCCCAACTACACGCTCTCAGGGATTACCCAGCCAAAACCAAGAGATATTGGACGGAATTTAAGAAAGGGATTTTTTGCGAGCCTGTGGGCGCAACTGGAGACGGAAGTTTACCCGAGAATGACTACTTTTGTAGGTCGTTTGCAATGTTACGTTCTGTCTGATGAACCAATGGTTTGCTTGTTAATGGCATGCATATTGAAGGGAAGAATTAGATACCGCATTTATGCTCATTTCATATTTGCTTTTTGCATTCTTGTGGTTCTCTTGTCAGGCTTTTATTTTTTTACAGGGCGGAATAGGCGTCTCCTTGTCGGTAATGGATTGGCGGGAGTAGATTACATCCTTTATCAAATCTTTATCAAATTGATTGAGCAAGAACCAGGTTAACTTTTGTCATAGTTTATTTCTGCATGCTCATTTTTCCCCCGTCTCCTTCTCTTTCCTCTTTCCATGTGTGCAACATGTTACTGAGTAGATCTCATTCTACTTGTAGTCTGATAGACGGAGTTTCAGTTTTCTGTTCCACCAAGGGTTTAACCAGCGTCAGCAGAATTTGTTTTACAACCAAACACGCCAAGCCATTCTAAAGGAAGATTTTGAATAGCCGCGTGTTTATTAAATAAGAGTTTTGCCACGAGACGCGGAACTGACATATCTGGCCCTGACATCCATATATAGATCAACAGAACAGAATTATATCGGATTGTTCGAACATTTCTCTTTCTCATTTTGTCGGGAGCCCGCATTTAGAGGGTCATCCTTGAACCTTGCAGCTATGCACTCCGCTCTCAATCGTGTCCAGAACGTCTTCGGCTTCTTCACTTCGGTCGCATTCGTTCTGGGCGCCTTAACGGCGCTGACAGCTGTATTTAATCCTGCGAATCCGGTTGCAAGTGTTGAGGTTTCGAATATACAAGTGTATGCTTTTATTCTTCTCTTTTTGTAGCCATTCCTATCCCGTTGGTTGGGGAATATGTGAGTTATCAGATACTGGACAATTTTTTCGCTAATTGAAAATACCTATAGAATCCATGGGCGACCGTATTATTATTCCACTAAACGGGAAGAATATGCACAGATCAAATTCGATCTTGATGCGGGTAAAAAATTCCGAGCTATACACATGCCACATTTCTACATTTCCCACATCTCTCGATTGCGTTCATTTTGCGCTGTGGAGATGGTCAATAGAACGAACCCCTTCCATTCACGAGATGTTCCGCACCCGCCTCCTCCACAAAGCTAACAGGGTAATCTACCCCGAATATAGATCTAACCTCTCTGTTCAATTGGAATACAAAACAACTCTTCGTCTATGTCCTCGCCTCGTACCCCACCTCCTCCTCGTCAACAAACATCACCGAATCCATAATCTGGGACACCATAATTCCAGCCACTGAATCCCCCTACTCCATCCCCGCGCTATCCCGCCGTTTATTCCCTTCAAAGAAGTCCAAATTCTCCAGATCTTCCAAAAACACCTCAACCTCCAAGAAATCCCAAAAACCTGGCCTCATCCGCCTCCGCAATCAGAAGCCCAAATACCAAATCACAGATATATCGGGCCGCCTGGCATCGCGCGAGAATGTGCAGTTGGTCGTGGCTTGGAACGTCCAGCCGTGGATTGGTGTGCTGATGTGGAGTCCCAGTAGTCAAGTTGCGGACAATATTGGCGGCGCTTTGGGTGGGATTTTCGATGTGGCTTTTATTACTGCGGGGAAAGGTGGAAGGAGTAAGCCATTTAGTTTTCCGGAATTGAAAGGGACTAGGAGGAATGATGGAAGTAAGAAGGGTCCGAGCTGAGTTGGGTGTCGACTAAGATGGTGGAAGTATGTGGGCGGAATGGAGGTGGGACCGGTTGTTGGTTCGAGGAAATCTATGGTTTATTCTGTCCCTTTGGCGGCTTTTTACGGGTAGCATTGATATAACTATAACTTCTCCTGGTTTGGTCTTTCTGCGACCCCCTCATACCATTTGCTGTTTATAATATATATATTATTTTATTTTATAATATTTCGACGAAACCAATTTAGAAATGAACAGTAATGTGATATGCTATGCTTTAGTGGGTTCATCTGGTAAAGATTATATCATTAGTTCGTCACACTCCCCATTTGTCAAATAACCAATGCTAAAAATACATAGGTGAGTAGGTGAGTAGTTGGTTTCTTGTTCAGGAACAAGGAATTAAACCATACTATACAACGTTTCTCCTTTTCCATCCATTCGCCAATTAATCTCTGATATGTATGAACCGGGCACAGTCATATCAGGCGTGTCCAACGAAACATCCTATAATGTACAATGTTTTTCTTCAGATCCATAACGGAGAGTGGTAAGCAAGAATAGAAAATCACGCCAGCGTCATTAACCGCATATCCCAAGCTTTTTTTCTCGAAACCCTTAAAGGCTTTCTCGCACATATACAGATACTACTTAGCTCAGTATTCACAGACGGCAAAGACCCTAGCAGAAAGCTTGGGCAAATCTGTCTCCACATCTATCGTGTCCAGCCAGACTCTTGATGACTATGCACTTCCGGGCTGGAGTAATATGTCGTTGCTGGAGTCGCTGGCATTCCTGGTGTCGCTGCGGTCTGAGGTGGCGGCGGAGGATAATAGTGCTCAGTATTGCTCAGATCACCGCCACGTTGAATCCTCTCTGAAAATATTCCTGGGGCCCGGTAGCAGGCCATACGGCCTTGGCTCCCTCTCCCGCGCCTGTCATAGTAGACATACTCGCAGTAGAAGGCATGGATATGGCCGGGGAAGTATCTGGGCAAAGGTAGAGCGGTGGAGAGGAAAAGTTAGCGACTGCACTAAGATCGTCTGTAGTATGTACATACAAAAGTTTGGTGTAGAAGAAATAATGGATATGATATGGGTTGTGGAGCGAAAATGAAGGTGGATAAAAGGGAATTGTACACACCCAAGTAATGTGAGGCAGACATTGATGAGAAGGTCTGGAGAGCATCCGCTAATAAAGAAAACTCCTAGGGGGGGAACTGTATTTAGGAGGATAAGGTATTAGTATCATAAATCACGAATGAGTAATTATCAAGCGTTTAGGACGCAATGACAATGCCTAGTACCACAGGCATAGATCGAAATAGATAGGGTATTCCGTTCCGCTGTGGCGTGGTATAGGTAATCGGTAATCTACTTACTAAACATCGTGATAATTATCAGGCAAACGGCAGTTACAGCGTCCCCTACCATGGCTGCTGCTTATATCCTCTTCTATTTCAGGCTTTTCTCTGTCTCTCCGTCCTTCGTTAATTCCAATTTATGTCCTCCTTTCCGGAAGCTGTTTTCTGGATATCCCCCAAAAGAGTTCTTCAACACCTAGTTGAAGAATGGAGATATATCACGCCGTCCACGGGTCGCCCCTTAATAACCTACTGTCGACGACGCACGACGTATGATAGCATTTACTGAGTGACCTCAAGGATATAAGTTGACAAGTCCAAAACGCGGTTAGAAATTTCAAGGAGATCATCCAATCCGGAGACCTTCCCTAGCCTCCGAGGGCAGAGAGAAATCGGACGAGGGAGTCAGAAAACGAAGGATATAGGAGGGGCGAGGTGTGAAAAGGCGGATCCTCGATAAATATAAGAATGTATTTGCCCATAATCTGTGGTTGTCGAAGAAAGAGGTTTTAGAAGAAGAAAAACGATTGCGCCGGATTAAATATAAATCGTGAATAGGGCGAACAAGACGCCGACGAAGAAGGAGCAAAGGGCCAGCTGGGAGTTGTTCCGTAGTGAAGTTTCCGAACGCAGCAGCTTCTGTGGGTGACGTCATTATGTTATCAACAGGCTTATCGCCACGTGACATCACGGAGGTAACTGTATTAGAGACTGGAGATGAAAATAAATGAAATAATGACGATCTGTGTCATTAAAAAATGAACTGCTATATCCATATCCAATCAACTAATCCTTTGTGATTTCCAATAAACAGACAAGAAAAAGACGCCAAAAACCAAACCCTTTGAGGCCCAATTAATGAGACACAATTGATGCCTGGAAAGAATAAAACAACATGTCGGGAGGCCGCATAGAATTACGATGCGGCACACTATTCCCAAGATCCAAACATTTATCCCACAACCCTTATCCAATGAGTTATAAAAACTAAGATGGAACCCCCCACAGAACATTCGAGTGACTGAATGAAAAAAGAGTGCAAACGCCATACACCCAATTTCACACACTAAAATCAAAAAGCCCGTAATGCTAACCCCAGGACTCTTATACCACTGAAATGGCCACACCTTGATTTGTTCCGTCCTCCTCACTATCCCCATCCTCGGGGAGACTGACCCCTTCCTCATCCGTGTCAATGTCCTCCCAGTCCCCAGCAGACGTGGGAGTTGGGGAAGAGTCGAAAATGTCGCCTATGTCGCTTCCTAGCATATGACGTTCTGCTTCAGCCCTTTCCACAAGCATTCGGGCAAAAGCAGCTTTGTCTTTTCCGCGAATTAGAGGCGGCCCTTCGTCGGATGAACTATCACCATCCGACGATCCTGATGCATTTCCGGCCTCATTGTCAGTGCCTCTTTCGGTTCGAACTTTAGCTCCGTTGGGAAAACGACAGGGGCAGTAACCACAGGGACACACTTCACTGGATGGCGGTGTCCACGGTACTTCCAAATTCGGCAGTCGTTCTGCCCGTGTATCCCTGCGGGTATTGAGAAAAGGTTCACAGTTCATAGTGAGAGGTTCAGAACTCGGAACTCTAGAAAGGTTGGATTCTGACTTTTTGGTGAGATGGCTAACCTGCCTCTGAAAAGAATCAAGCCCAACCTCCTGGAAGTATTTCGAAATATACAACTCATCCTCTTCGATCGAGTTTGCCCCTGAGAATATCGCATTTCTTGATGCATGGAGGCCTTGATGTGGATCTCCACTCCCTTTCTCCTGAACAGATATATTCGTCCCCCGCCAATAGCACCGTTCTCCCCTGGGACGATACCGCGTTTCTAGATCTTTGTCGCGTTTGTCGTATCGGGTTGGCATGCCCAGCATGTTAACAATATCGTATTGTAACCTCTTGTCACCAGATTCTGTTCGAGGATGGTTTGGGAGATCAATGCTCGTTCGTGGGAGAAGTGTGGAACCAAGTTTAACGGCTGTTTTAAGAGGATGAATATTATGCGGTGAGCGTCTTTGGCGGCGAAGAGGTGGCACATTCAAACAACCCTCTAAAGGCCCAGGAGGAGAGTAAGTAATCCTCTGGCCACTCGGGCCCTCATCCACTTTTGACTCAGAATCAATATGCACTTTAGCCACCACTAGAGACGGCTTGATAAAGCTGTCGAACGGCTGTTGACTTAAAGACCTCCTGTCACCGGAATACATCTCGTAAGCTGATATCGGCATCAACATTTGTGTCTCATCTGGAAAACCAACAAAGGGAACAGTCGAGCTCATAACTGGATTTTTGAACCTCTCAAGGCTAGGGCTAATTTGCTGCAATGGTCTCCATTCTAGTGGTGACGGGACGGACTTCGTATTTTGGCTGTCCGACAACAAACGCTCGAATCTGTAACGTTGGTCAGGATGAGTTCGTGAACAATTCCTGCTCTTGATATTGATCGTAACCCTGGCTCTGACAGTCTTCTCGAATCTGACGTTCGTATCAAAATATTGCAGAGCTGTTGCAGTAATCATTATCCGAAGGGTGTATGTTTCAGATTGATCCCTTGAAATACCATAGGCCAAGTGGGCATCGGGATAAACAACGCATTCCTTAGAATCAGAGCAGAATGGCACGGTCCCGCTAAAGCTGGATACTGAAGCATCCCACCGTAACCAACTGGCAGAGGACTTGTAAACAATATGGGGTGGCTCCAAATCAGATTCAGCCCCACTACTGATGAGGGTAGAGTTGTATCGTGGCATTAAACGGAATTCGTGTCCTTCGGTAGTAATAGGGTCGAATTGCTCAAATGACAGTACATCCGGAGCCCAATTCACCTCGACAGGGGTTCCAGATATATGGGTATGAGTTATTGTGTTTTTCGAGTGTTTACCTAGGTCTAAAAGTTTAACTCCGATTCTAAGACCGCCAGTTGCGAGGCACGAGTTATTTCCAACAGGAGGGTAAACAAAGCAGTCATGACAGCGAATAAACTGTGCAATTGTCTTGTAAATGTTCCCCATCGACGCCAACCAATGATACATACGACGATGTTCCTTCCAGCAGTTGACCATGGCCGTCGCGATATCGATGATGTTAACTGGCAAATAATGCGTGCCGTCCAAAATTTTGTCTTGTTGCTCATGTTCACGCTGTATTTCAAGGAACGCCTGGTTTTTTATTTCATGCTGTTGTTCTAGGAGTTCAAATTGATCGTGCAACAAGTATCCAAGGGCCCTTTTAAAGGTTGTCTCCCAAAATAGTAGTTCTTGCGCTTTATCTGAAGACAGGCCTTTCCATGTCTTTGTTATATCGACGTTCACAACCCTGGGGCCCTCGTGATGGCTGCCAACGACAGAGTCTGGGGTTGGATTTTCTGCTACCCCGGGATAAACTTGCAAGCGTGGGCGGAACATATCAATCATGCTGCGACAGTCAGGAAATGAGTTGCCAAAAAAAGTGAAGATGGTGTTAGATGTGGACCGCGCAGAACTAGGAGGGGGTAATTGTATTGTCTCCTGTTCTGTCAATCTTCTGCCAGCATAAGGTGTCTGCAAGCACGTTAATCAGCTATTATAAATTTTTCTCTTTTGTAAATATTGAGTTCGTGCTACGGGAGTCAACTAACCTCACGATCACCAGCTTCATTAACTTCACGAAAAGCAATACCTACAAACGGGTTTCGATATTCAAGTGGAGGAGGATTGGAATACAGCAATGAAAATCGTCGGAAATACGGATGATATGACTGGGATTCAGCGGTAAAAGTTTGAAGGGGGGCCACTGATGGATATCCGTACACCTCATGATGCAGATCCATAAATTGGCGTTTCTCTGGAGTTGAAGGCACTGGGGGAGTATCGACAGTGTCCAAAAGGATATCGTGATATTCATTGGGCACGTCAAGCACAACTCTAGGAGGACTGTGCAAGCAGGTTTAGCTAAAACTTGATTCAGTCTTTGAGGAGAGAGACAATTCTTACTCCATTAGAATAAGCAATGGATGCAGGAGATTGGGAAGAAATTCTGTGGTGTATCTTGATAATCAGAAGTTCGGTATACTTGAAGAAAAGGAATAGAAACGGGGTTTTCGAAATGTTTGCTCGTTGAAAATAAATATCCGCGGTATATTTATTGACGATGCCACCTGTTATCGTTAGCCCAGGAAGGCTCAAGTTGTTACCGGCTGGTCCTTCTTAATATTGGGAGCATCTGTGAGCGGGAGTAATAACTTCAGAAGGAATCTCCCACACGTCACAACAAGAAAGACCTCACAGGAAATGATGGGACTCTATTTGATAGTTCCATCAGTAATAGAGACTTGAAAGGAGGCTTAAGGGTGACATGACCAAGTTGAACAGATGACAGAGATAGTCCAGGAATAAGAGAGAGAATGAGATTAGGAAATATGCATGTCATGATTATCTTTAGTAAAAAGAGAAGGAACACAAAAAGCCAAAAGCATTGATTGCATGTCAAACCGCATCTATTGAAGCTCTCATGGTCAACTGCTCATTCTTATTCCCAAGTTTTGATATCTGTAGGAATGCATCGACTCCATAGCCTTCTAGGCTATGCAGCTCCAGACTGCCAGCCCAGTACTCCGCATAAACCCTACTCATGGGCAGTCCCATCCCAAGTCGCAAATTTGGTGGCCGGGAACTAAGTGATGCCAATGAACTGTCTCTATGTGGATGTCCATTGGCAGTATAATTCCCCGTGTCTGCTTCGTGCTGTTGTTCAGCAGATTTGGAATCGGAAACTTTCACCTCTTGCATCGTCGCGGCCATAGTGGGAACTTGTTGTAAGTTACGAAGTCGGGCCTGTGTGTGGGGCCCCTTGCAGAATGACCACAGATATGGTGAAACTTCTCGAGGAATTCCTCCACCTTGATCGGAAACACGAATGATGACGTGTTGTGGAGATTCGCAGATCAAAACTTCGATAGGCGGAGGCTTTTCTGGTTTATGGCTGAACCTTTCGATGATAGATTGGAAGGAATTTCGCAACAATTCCCCGATGATATATTCCAGGTGGCTCAGTATGTAAGGAAATGTAGCCTCCAGGTGACCTTGAACAACAACATCGGGGACCTGACAATCAGGTCCGAGTGATTGTTTCAGCAGGTCTCTTGCTCGATTGCCACAATTTTCGACCACCTCTTTCGCATTGCACCTGAGAAATACCTCTCCCACAAAGTCCGTGTTTAAGTCTGTCCTATCCTTTGAATCGGGGAAATGCCATGGGGCATTGAATGTATCAGTAAGCGCAAGATGTTGTTCTGCGATAACTCGACGTGAAATTCGCTGTACGAAGAGATCGTCAGTTCTAGCAAGTTCTCGCCATTTACAAGAAAATTCGTGTTGATGTAATTTCCACTTACTGCACGCAACAATGTATTCATAAATCGATCTATCTCTTCCGGCTTCACGAGATCCTGGCACTCCAATACACCCATTGCAAGATTCGGTATTACTGTCAGATGCTCTTTGAGCGTGGCTCGTAGAATATCGCAATACTTGTCATTGTCTTCTAAAGTTTTGATTTGGGGAACATTGCGAAACTTCTCAAAGGCCTTATAGTAAAGCTCGTAGACGAGGGAGAGGTGCGGGTTCGTGACAACAACATAGGGAAGCTTCTGCATGTCCCGTAGGCGATGGGCGATTCTGGTAAAACCATAAAATGAGGTTTGGATTCTTAAATGTCTGGCAATTGAACGTGCATGCCATTGAGGGAACGGTTGCACAATGGTATACATACCTTGTTGGAAGCTCGGTTCGCACATAGTTTGCAGAGCTGATCAAGCGCGACTCAGTGATCGCGCGACCAAAGAATGTTAACTGGCGTAAGCTAATTGGCCGTACGTCACGTTCAACCCATCTAAAAGGAACAAACAGTTAATGAGAGCTTTCACAAGACCGCATAATACATTCCCGCGTGTAGGAGAGGCAAAACGCCTATTGACTCACTCATCAAGAGTTGAGCCTGGCCGCCATGGCGGTGGGCTAGGCTTGTCGGTTGAGAAGCATCTTGCGGGTACTACAAAAGGTCTCAGTGCGATGGCCTTCCGCCAATGAACTGATTGCCGCTGAAGCATCCTGAAATGCCATTCACGTCTCTCGCACAAAGGGTTGGTTTCCGAGAGCAGAGGGACGTGGGCGTGCCTGGTAGGTAGATATCACCGTAACTCATTGTCTGCAGCCACTAGCACATCCTCCGCGGTTGTCGCAAACACTGGTTAAATATTGGGGAGTTGTAAAATAGCAAGCAACGGAGAAGTTGCGGGCGGTTAAATATAGGGTTCAATTATGGTTGGATGTGAGTGTTTTCTGTTAGTTAACGTTACCCTAGTTGCATATGTCATACGAGCAGAAGCAGCCTTTACTAACGTAACTATTAACTAATCCAACGACCGAGCGGCGGATTCTCTCCGAAAATCAATCAAATATTCAATGTATTCAACCAACACGCTTAAATATTGAAAACATTAATAAATTAAGACTATCTTATAGTTGAATATATAGCTATTTATTAGGGCAACTGCGTATAGTATGTCCAAAAGTCCCACTGCAGCGTGGTGGAGCTCGCTGGGGATACATACATAGCTTCAATCTGAGCTTCAATCTGAATATCAAGTTGCTCCAAGCAGAGCCACCATAGATATTCGTTTTAGTAAAAGACGCAGATGGATAAAGATACAGAAAATCATCTTTATCAAGGATTGTTTTTTGCAATCATCATCCCTTAACCAGCTTTTTCTATATATATTTTAATAGTGTAAAAACATTATTTAATGATTGAAGAAGAAGATGAGATGTATGCAGATATGCAAAGACAGATTATTGCATTATCTTTATAAATATCATCAAATTTCAGTTAGATGTATTATTATCATCAAGAATAAGTAGCTGCTTCATACCCACTGAATAGTATTTAGAATATAACTTAAATATGTTCTTAAATCAAAGTTTGTTTAATTCATCAGTGGTTCTAGTCATTAGTATTTACTCAATATTCTCCAATTTTAAGAAAGAGCTGATTTTTGATATTAAAATGCTTGATATTTTCTTTTAAAATTATTATTAGTGAAATAGAATATTTCTTTGACTCTATGTATTCAATATTAATAATCTATTTATAATTTCTTTGAATAATTTTATATTATCTTAACTGCAGTAATAATTTTAAAGATTGTACAAAGTCTTATTATGAAGTTAGTCTCATCAATGTTTTAAATATTTTCTTCATGAATTTTACAGTCTTAAATATCTTTATATATCATCTCTAATCATTGTTTCATAATCTTTAAATTTTTCTATTTACCCATTGATAGGATATATAGTGATTATAGTATATATACTGTTAAGAGTAACATAGATGAATCTAGATAACTATTTAATTAACTTTAAAAGTGGGTAATGGAATTCAAAGTATATATATGAAGTAGAATATATATCATTCCACATAAGAACTTCAGTCAGATTGAAAAGCCTCACTTACTTACATTCAGTAATTACTTGAGAAGAGTTTTCTCTTCAATCTCTGTCAATTTGTTATCAATTGGATATGTTTCTAGGTGTGATCTGATGTCAGCAAGTTGTTTGTGCAAGGTAGGTTTAGAAACTTTATGTATCTTTGCAGCTTTCATCTTTGATGTAATTATTTGTGATTTATACACAGCAATGACCAGCTGTATGTGAGATTCTTGAGATAAAGACATTTTGAATAACAAAACACCGAAGAAATGATGTGTTGAAGATAGTTGAATATTTGATGATTTTCGGAGAGAATCAGCCGCTCGGTGGTAGATTAACTACATCAAGGATTGATAGAGTTAACTAATAGTTACTTGAAGCTCTCCCTGTCAAGCACCTGTCTAGAGGATGTGCTAACTATGGAAAACCCTGAGAGGAAGCTTCATAACTGGCTGATCCTCTTATGCTAGCCATCAAAATTACTCTGGATATTTCCTCATGCTAGTCAGATGTTAGCTTGCTAATTCACCTCCTGAAGTGTCTACTGACGTAAAACTATCCAGCACTGCCAGCACTGCTCATAAACTTCAGAGAAATTAAATTGGAGATGAGATCCCAATATCAACTCAAAAAGTCCAGGGCCCTGATCTGTGCAGTGCTAGTTATTTATTTGCGGGAATTGCAAAGTGCTTGTGAACTGAACAGCAGATGCCGATATCGCAGACTTGTAACTAAAGTTAGTTAGCTATTTAACTAGTTAACTAACTACCCCGCAGAACTCTATTGAAAAAATGCCTTAACGTGTACATTAATTCCCACAATCCTCTCACTAACAAGGGTCTACAACCAATTGCCTCACGTCCTGGGTCTTTTGTGGACCAGTTTTCTCTGTTTTGCATACGGGCGAAATAATGAAGTCACCTTCACAGCCTGATGAGTGAGTATCGTGGGATTTTAAATCTTCTTGGAGTGAGTGTTCCAAGAGTCACTACATTTCAGAATTTCTCAGATCTGACGTGAAATTGCTATCGCTGCTTTCAAAACTTTCTGCGAACCTCCGCTACCCATTTTCTCAGGTATCCGACCAACATATTGGAGCTGTTGAGCATTTCTAGTCGTCCGAGGTCGACTAAAAGAAGAGACTAACAGAATCTGTCTGGCGACTATTATGCTGCATATGATGGTTGGCGAATAGGAGATTTCGATCCTCCATGGCTCTAGTCAGCCGTACCAAGAAGCCCGGGAAGTGCTGTTACAATCAAGAAGACATGCAATTTCAATTCGAACTTAGAAATATCATGAGGTAGGAAGTTGTGGGAGCACTGATAGCGAGTGAAGCAGAATTTTGACCGGCCTTCGCTATCTTCCCAGGACTTGCCGAAAGTTCTTCTGTAACTGGTTAACAGACTGAATTTCTTCATAACCATATAAGAAATGTAGCCTCAACTCCTCTGCGTGGACATCGTTTCGGCGAGTATGTTTTTATTTGGGTCATAGGTGGGAGAGATATGACGGACGACTTGCTTTTCATATATATCAATATCATCTCGACGCATTTTCCGAAAGTTCACGCCTCCGCGTCAATGGAGCAGAGCTGCCAAATACTCGCCGACCAACAAATGGTAATCAGGCCCTCTGGTTTATACCTCCTGCAGATTTATAGCGGTTGCTTAATGACACATCAGTCTATCCGATATATCAAACTATTGAGTGATAGCAAGATAACCACCTGTCTTGACTAACCTCCGTGAATATCATTATTCACATATTGGCTGCTCTGGTACTTGACAAGGCTGAAATTGGCATCGATATGAGAGATAAACCCTTCCCTTCGCTGCAGTTCCTCCAATAAGGAAATCGACGATATCCAAGAGTTGGCTAAGGAGCTAGGTGTGCGTGTAAATGTACACGTGGATCTAAAATAGAGGGACTCAGGGCAAGGCTGAGAAATGCAAACGCTGAAAGATCGAATTTTTAATATGCCAGCCATCCACTTCAACAGCTTGCACTCCCAGATATCTGATTCCACTGTCACTGGTTCTACAGGTACTAGAATCTAACTACACTACTCAATCTCTTGTTCATCTTACCCTGCTTCGGGCGATCCAGGCATATATTGACAATGGCAAAAAAATTCAAAGGAGGAAAGTCATACGCGCCAGCAGCTAGTGGGGAACAAGTATATCAAAGTTCCACACCTCTTTCATCTGTTCTCGACAACCATGTCAGTCGCAGCGGGATTGCCAATTCCGACAACGTCACGCTCTTAAGAAACAAGCTACCCTCTACGAGTCGAGACCAATACATCACCGGTATCAGAGGCAGTTATCAGGAGAACCACAACACCAAAGTGAACTATGAGATCCGACACGATAGTGACCCGCAAAAAGGGAATCACGTCAATGCCAGGGTCACTCGAACGATGGCTGGCAAATATGGCGTCATTGAGGAAACAACAAAACTTGCTGTTTTGAATACCAGCCACCCGAGCCAAGCGGACTTTGACAATATCATTACGAACCTCAATAACCTGAGCTATTTGGGACAGGGGACTGATGACACTCAAAAAGCCAAAGCTGTTAGAGATGCCTGGACTGGGCTAAGCCGGAACAAGTAACGCTGATATCTTTGCAATCTGACTGTATCGGCTTGGAATGACGGGATTGGATTGATTTTGACGCTTTTGCTTTTCTTCGTCTTCTCTAAGTGTATTGACGGATACATGTGCTCCCCTTATTTCTCAGGTCAAAGTTCTTTTCACTCACACCAAATTGTCAGCTACCAAATAGGAGCTGTGAGTTTCTTCTATCCAAAATGAAATCCAACATGATAGTCTCTAATTATGTGCAAGGGGTGCAAGAGACTGCCTAAATTGGCGGAACCTCATTCTAAGCACCAAACACCTAGCTTAATATGTACTCAGAAAACCCAAACCAACTAAGAAGATAATCTACATACAATATCATCAATCATTGCCCTTACAGGAGCAGGATTCCTCAGTCGTAAAAACATCTGTAGCAGGTTGAAATCCAGCCTCGCTCTTCTCCGCATTCAGCAGTTGATCCAGCACCTTCTGAGCGTCCCACTTAGGGCTATGTATATTATCCCCGGCGAGATCGATCCAAGCTCTCCATGACTCAGAATTAGGCGCAGCATGGCTCACCCGTACCCAATTAGTGAACTGAGACACGCGGATGGCATTCCACAAAGCTTGCGTATAAGTCTGTGCTTGCAGTTGCTTGATCTCTTCTAGATCATAACGTACAAGGTTCCAATGCCATCTCATGGGGAAAAGTGCAGCAATCTGATAGCATCCGTTGAGAAGGACATATGAACAACCGAGTGCCGCTTGCATGGTCCAGGTGGCATTCCCCATCAAAATGACAGCGCTCATGAGCAGGAATGTGCCTACTCCAACTAAGGCGCGGAAGACTTGGTCGCCAACGACATAGCTGCATTCTTCTGTTCCCGTGTAGAGTTCGCGAGCGACCTCTTCTGTGCACCGTATTATGACGAAAGCGCCCTGTCTCGTCCGAATTACAAGGTCGCCATCTGGCACCACTGTTTTGCGTTTCCGCACCGTCAAGTTTGGGTGCCACATGGAGGACAACCCGATGATGCTGGAAGCGATTGACACTACCACAATAGCAATAACGGCAACGCCATCTTCGAGTAGAACAGCCCAGGCACACAAGCCGACAGAGAGCAAGAATGATGCAACCGAGAGAAAAAATAAAGGTGAAAACGGCCTCGCATGAATTACACCCTTTGGCGTTCTAAAGATGCGGTTTCTAAGCTTCTTCTCATCATGTAGTGTGTCCTCGTAGCCCTCTCTATGCTTAATCCGGATTTCGTGAACGGAAAAGCTGGGAAGATTAATGTTGTAGATGAGGTTTGCGAAATGGTTTAGCTCAACGAGGAGCGTTCCGGAGTGAATACTGACAATGTGCGCGGGAATAGATGGTAGACGTGTTGGCCGGGCATGCCTCAAGAGCGCCTGTGGGGCAGGCAGGATACGAGGGAGAAGACAGAGAATCGAAGCTGTCAGCGGTTGGGAGTGCGCAGACATGGCGCTCTCGCCGATAACGGCGAGCAAACTAACGATGTCCAAGCTCCAGTCATTGCGGTTCTCTGGGAATTTGAGCATGGCACTCGCTTATGCTTTATTCCGGTAAGGCTGATGGGGATTTTATTTGACAAAGAGGACCGGGTCGGTATGACATTGGCGAAAGGATTGACTGAGATCATTGGAGCGCCAGACTGACCTTGATTGATGGCCGTCAGGAAGATTTATCTGTGGGATCTCGTCGTTTGACCCCTCATGATGAATTTCCGATTCGAGGCGGAGCTTTGTGTTGCCTTGAGCATGCAGCAGCTCTCTCTTCAAAACACACCATTCCTCTCAAGAGAAAGCGTCAGCCTATCAACTTTTCGGAGCGCCAATTGAACCCCGCTGTCTGTGGCTGGTGTAGAACGAAATTGGTTGGTTCTAAGTTGACAGTCAAATCAAAGGCTCAATAAAACAACGCTGCGGCTTTTCTGTGCAAACTAGCTGGGAACAGGGCAGCTTGTCACAGCCACCCATAGGCGTATCCTGGAAAACTTTGGGGGATGTCGCTCCAAAAATTGGCCCACGTCTTGGAATCTGTGGCGGTTGGCATTTTGACCGCCTCTGACAGGGTGCTTCGTATGTTGAAAACCAGATAAATGTAAAAACAGGAGCACAGGACTTGAAGCTATTCTTTCAGTAAATGGATAGCAAAAAACACCGCCTCACTGGGCATTTTGATGCTCAAATTCATTGTCTATATATATTCCCTGGGTGTTTCCAAAAGTCAGCAAAGTAATGTCGAGGGGATAGATCACAACCTGGAAAGGAATCTGGACATAAATGACGACGGTTGGGAGGACCAAATATTGGATAACTATCGAAAGTCCCACCAAAAGCCAAAGGAGATGGTCTACTTCCAATGGATCCGGGAATCCTTCTCCTGTCGCTTGAAAACTCAGAATAATAAACATTCCTCAGCCCATGGCTCAAGCCCAAACATCCCGTCTTCTCCAACCGAATACTTCAAAGCCCTCGAAACTTTGCAGAATCAAGAACGAGAAATGGCTTTTGATGCTACTGCGATAGCCAAAGCATCAAAAGCTGAAAAGGATGCAGCATCCATTCTAGAGGCTATCCGCCGTAAAGAGCGCGCAAGACTTCTCGACTCCGGCGCATCAGATCAATTTTTGGCAAATGTTGACCTCATCAACGACAATTGTAGTGACCTGATGCGGGCAGCCCAGCGGCTGCCCAAGGGTGCACATCTACACTGTCATTTCAACACCGTCCTCCACCCTTCGTTTCTCGTTTCACAGGCACGCAATATCAAATGCATGTTCATCCGTAGCAGTCTGTCTCTCAATACGCAGCTTGATAATTTCAAGAATGCGGCGATAACGTTTTCTATCCTGCAGGATTCGACCAAGGGAATGAACATTTTCGACAGTAATTACAAACCCCTTTCCTGGATGAGGTATTCCCAGTTCTTGCAGAAGTTTCCTGGTGGTTGGAGAAAAGCAGAGGAATGGTTGGCGAATAAATGTATGATGTCTGCCGAGGATGCGCATGCTATGGAACAGACGATGGACGGGCAAGTAAACATGTGTTTTTCTCCCTTCATTTTAACATCAGGGGTCCTACCTTACTAAAATCTATCATCCAGGGTTTGGGATCTATTTAATCGCAGCACGCAGATGATGAAAGGACTCTTCAATTATGAATCTGCATTCCGGAGTTATATCGGAAAGGCCATTGATAGCTTCGTTGAGGACAATGTCATGTACGCTGAAGTCCGGCCCAATTTCTTTGATAAATACATCGTCAGTGATGATGGTATTAGGCAACTTGACCACCATGCTTGGATGCAAATCATCCAAGAGGAGGTTGATGCAAAGTTAAAGCAGTTCGACGCACCGAGCAAAGGAACTGGTCGCTTCAAGGGACTGAAAGTCATCTATTGCGCACCTCGCTCCATCACAAAGGAAGACATGATATGGTGCCTCAAAGATTGCGTATTATTAAAAAAATCATTCCCAGATTTGATCTGCGGTTCGTATTCCATAAAATATATCACTTCCCTATCAACCGACATTCAACAACCTGACCAACATCCACATCACAGGCTTTGACATGGTAGGCTGCGAAGGCCGTGGCAATCCAATCCGTCACTACATTCCTGAACTGTTGCAGTTCAAAAAAACCTGTTCCAACCTATATCTGGACATTCCATTCCTCTTCCATGCCGGTGAAACACTCGAGAGCCAGGGACCAACAGACGGCAACCTCTACGACGCCATATTGCTGGGCTCCAAGCGCATCGGACACGGCTACGCGATGGCACGTCACCCGCTGCTCATGCAAATGTGTCGAGAGCGAAGCATCGCGCTGGAAATCTGTCCCATCTCCAATGAGGTGCTGCATTTATGCTCGTCCGTGCAGGGACACGTGTTGCCAACGCTCCTAGCGAATTCAGTCCCGTGTACGATTAATAGTGATAATCCTTCGTATTTTAGGTTGGTGCTTTTGACTCTATTGCAATTTTATTATTATATGAATGCCGCTTGGGACTATGAGGATGTAAGGCTAACATATTGCCTGATAGATCTTCGCTCTCACACGACTTCTACCAAACCATTCTGCACCATGACTCCATGACGCTCTTCGGGTGGCGGGTCCTGGCCGAATGGAGTATTGAGCATTCGTGTATGGATCCGGAGCAAAGAACTGATGCATTCAAGACGTGGGAAAGGAACTGGGAGGCGTTTTGTGAGTGGATCATTGGGGAGTTTGGTCCGGAGTATTTGCGCTTTCCGGCTTCGACTCAAGCGGATTCATGGTTTTGAATACGGTACACGATATGTCAGTCAAGGGATGAGCAAGAGCTAGGGCGATGTTGGGTTTTGCATTACGATTGATTTGGACAGCGGAGCACATGATGCCGGTGTTGGTGGCTTTGAATTTGGAGTATTTGCAACATATATACCCCAGTTTTGCGTGAAGATTTTTCGGCTTTATATTATAAACCTCATTTGTGATTGAAGGTGTTTTGCATTCGTTATTTGCTTATTAAGGGATTGGATGTGTTGCATTTGCGGTATATCCCTTGAGATATAGACATAGAGGACGAATGAGACAGCTTTTTTTGTTGGTTATTAGGAATGCTATGGTAAATAAAATTAAACTCCATCCAAGTAACGAGCTGAATCACCAAACTCACTGCAACATGGAGTATTTAATTTCAATTGCAATTCTCAGCAACAATCAAAAGAAATTCTATATAGAATTAAACTATACTATGGTTAGGACCCGCTCTAATTGTATGTTCAATAGTTCCACAATCACTACGTCTCTGTGAAGCTCGCAATTATGATTGTAGAACAACAATCTCAACATTCATATTATCGATCAATCATACTTTGTAACAGTCAGATTGAGAAACACAATAAAACTTTCAACTTCTTTTTTTGTAAACCTTCATGTAAAAGTAATCATTTAAATCTTGTATATTTCTGTTTCTTCATATCATTCAAAACAAAAATATTCTAATGTTACTTTTCATAATTATAATAGTAATTAACTTATAGTTACTTACTTTAATAATTTGAGTAAAATTTTGTTAAAGTAATCTAAAAGAGTTTATATAATTTTATTTAAGAATTTTTTTAACTTTATTTATTTTTAATAATTGATAAATATTTTTAGATGTTTAAAGAATTCAGGATAACTATATATTTCTAAATTTACTTCTTAAAAAGATTGATATTAGATCTGAATATTAAGCTTTAAATAATCCAATTAAAGTTAAATAAGTTAATATTAATATTAATTATTATAAAGTTATTTTAACTATTCTAATATATACAAATGTTTTCCTATTATTTTAATTATAAAAATATTTACATTTAAATGATATAAGAATGTGATAAATAAAATAATATATAAAATGAATTTATATTAGTTGAACTTTAAATAAAATAGTTCTTAATAATTATTTAAAATAGTAAGAAATTGTTACGGCGCAAGCCGCTGGTAATATGGATTAAGGTTGATCCGCTCCGATCCACCTCTTTATAACTCGGCTGCTCGTTTCATTCCACATTCTAATCCCCAGTTTTTATATTCTCGTCGCAGCTGCGCAGTTAGACAGATGAATTGAAGCTTTTACCTTGACTCTAGATTGAGCCATGACAGAAATAACTTTCTCTGTTTTGTATATGAGGAATTGAAATAAATATCGTTGTAGGTTATTTGAGCACATTTTCATCTGTTATTTAGTTTATTAACTAATATCAAGTTTTCAATCATATGAAAGTTCATTAAATTAAACCTTCTTTTAAGTATTTTAAGTTTTGAGAATAATGTATAATATGTTCAAAAACTCAATAACTACAACTAAACTTCGTTTATAGTTTTATCATACAATCGTATTACTCAGAGCCGATAACAATCTTCGTAGTTTGCACCAAAGTCCCATTGCAAATTGTGAGTTTATATGATAGAAACTTGTAGCTGTGCAATCAATTCAGATCTATATCAAATCATTATAAACAAATGCCTATATAAGGAAAAAGGAAAGACATTGAGGCTCTATTTAAAAAGCATAGAAAATACGAGCAGGATTTCGAAATTGTAAACTTGAGTTAATTCGGGCGATACAATCACGGCCGTACGGAGGCCGATCAACCTACAGACACGAATTCAATCTCATTAAAATTATATATGTTTTTATATTAAATTCTTGAAGACAGCCTTTAGTGGGTCAAATCATTTAGGAATAATCTTAATCACATTTGACTCACTCAAATAATTGTAAAATATTTTGAATATCGGCTTCGAAGCTCTGTATAATGCCATATCACAAGTTCAATATTTTCCTCTCTATCTACGGGGTTCCTTTTGTTTTTATTGTGAGTTGGTAGCATGCTGATGTGTCAAAGCAGGCATGTTGATAAAGTAGAAGTGTATTTCAATTACGATGATCTGCTTAGTTGAGTGATCCACTCAGTTGAGAACCATGTTATTTGAAATTTTATCATTATGAACGAACTAAATAGTGTGTCAGGCGTAATTATAGATAGATGATGATTTAGGTATAT